ATGCTGTTCGTCGCACTTCTTGCGGCGAGCTCGGCATGTGAGGCAACCTGTCTTGGACTTGAGGCGCAGCGAGCCATAGGCCGGCGGCGGTGACATGGTTCAATTGAGAAGGACAAATGATTGCGTCGGGCTATGTATCTGCGAGACACCCACATAAAATGATGGGCCAAACGATCACTGGGCATGCAAGAGGCAAGGTCCTGGCCCCCCTGGAACCGGGCGTAGGCTTGGATTACCACACGTGATCTTATCGGGAGCGCGCTTATCTTAGCGCGTCATGACGCCTGGCCGGCTTTCCTCAACGAGCATCTTGTGTAAGAATGTATACGAGTAGATATCTCTACGCCGCCTATCAACGCGTTCATTCTTTACACCCTTAACGGGCCGAAGACTTCTGAACCTCTCCTTTCATTAGAATAACTATCATACCCGTACTCCATGCCAATGCTGCACAACCTCAAGGCAGACCTTCCACTTCCAGACAAGCGCGTCTATTCTCATATTAACATGACAACCTTCCTTATTGAGTTTCTTACTTTCTGCTCGCTGCACCATGGTTCGGATCGCCAGTAACTACACAAAGTATAAAGAAGACAGGCCCGAATCAGCATGGTGGACAAAGCCACGCTCTTCCTAGCCAGTCTTCGCTCCAAAAGAAGAGCAAAAAAAAGAGCTTATGACCTAACCAGGGGTCGCTATATCAACGTTAGTAGTCTGATTCGAATAGAACTGAACTGGAAAGGGTTCAACTTACAACCTGGAATCTCTTGATATCGAACTCAATCGTAGTCAAGCGCCTTGCCATTGGGCCATTAGGCCATCTAATCAGATGGATGATGAGCTCAAAAATTGAATGGTATCCATCGCCCATTTATGAGGGTTAACATAATAGAAATACGCTATAGATTATCAGGCCAAGTGGGATTGGATTTTGGAACATCGGTGGGACATGTGTGTATAGCGTAAAAGAATTTTGCACGTGGGGTGGGGATGGGTCGGAGTGGTTCGGCGACTTGGAAGTACAGCATGATGTTGGATGGACGAGTATTTCAGGGAGCCGATTCAACCAGTAAATTGCAAGTATGGTCATTGTGTTTCATATACAAGAAGCGAAGAGTACCTGGTTCGATATACTGGTAGTAAGTCATCAGAGCGGTATGTCTTCCACCCACGAAGCGCTTAAGCTCTTGCCGCAGGCTGCTGAAGAGTGCTTCCTCCATCAGGGTAAAGTACTTGCTCATTGTAAAAGACACCTCCAGGGCCAGCAAGCATGAGTACAGTCGCAGCCATGTCAGTGTCGGCTCCCGGGCGACCGGCAGGGTTCGACATTTCTGAATCCATGCGGCTCTTGTTGTCTTCATCAGAAGAACCAGTTGTCATCTGTCGTAAGTTGTTAGTATACAGAGTCGATTCGGAAGAACTAATACAAGGACGGAGGTGGTGTGAAATAGATGGTTCTAATTACCTCACTAGGGAAAACACCGGGTGCGATGGTGTTGACGCGGACCTTGGTGCCTATAAAAGTCGTTGCAAGCATTCTACTGAGGTGCGTAGCCGCTGCTTTGCTGGAAGCATAAGCGAATTGACCGCTGCTGCTACCCTTCATATACCCTGAGATACTGCTCACGTTGATGACCTGTGAACTGTATCCGGGGGTGACGCTGCCACCCTTGGCAAGCAGAGGAAGGAAGGTCATGCTCATCCAGTAGATACTTCCGACATTAGTCTTCATAGTGTCAGCCCACTGCTCGGGCTGTGACTTGAGGAAGTGGTCAGATATGGCTTGAGCATCTTCCATGTTGGGCTGGCCGTTTGAGGAAAATTTTGTGTTCTCGTCCCGCGCAATTCCGGCATTATTGATGAGTAATTGGACGCCCTTGGGCTCCTTTTGGCACATTTCATCATAGAGTCGCTTCACATCATCCTTATCACTGTGATAGTGTCAGCCCTCACACAACACTTCGTTCGGTCAGATACGGAATGCTCACCTGATGTCGGCCTGAACAGGAATGATTTGTCCTGGTCCGGTGTTGTACACTTCCTCCGTTTTCTCCAAAACCTCATCACGCCTTGATGTGATGTAGACCTTTGCGCCGTTGGCGGCCAGCGCTTGTGTGATCATCAACCCGATTCCAGTTCCTCCTCCAGTAACAAGGGCAGTAACGTGTGACACATCAAAGAGCTTAGACCCCTTTAGATCCTCGTTGCTTGCTTTCCCCATGTTTCTGACTACTTGGTAGGAGGTCCTTGGGATGAACTGCTTTGTGCGTGAGAATGGTGTAATTGATCTGGTAGCTATTGGAAGGGTTTTCGAAAAGAGGCGAAGCATTTTGAGATGTATCTGCAATGGATTCTGGCTTTATGTGATATGAAAGTGGATGGAAGATGTCACAGTTTGCATGCCAATATGATGACGTTGAGACGACGCATGGTCTAATGCATTAGGCACTGGCAGGACGGCAGGACGGCAAGCCTCCACACTATTTTCTCGCATCTTTAAATAAAACCTCTAGTTCAAGGAAAACTGTACCTATTGCCGTTCACCATGTATGTCCTATCAACGAGTCAACTTGTTCTGCAATTGAATGAGTATCGCTGGCGCTGTGTTCTAGGAGAATTTCTTTTGTATCAAGAGTTCATATGGAATAACGAAAATCTAATTTACAATAATTAGGTATTATCATTTCTATAGATACTGGCTACTTTATCGCATCGACCTAATTCAAAGTCATGGTGTTGAGGACTTGAGAGTGATGACGTCACATCTGTAGGCTACATACAACCGGTTTATCTCCGGTTCGTGATCTTCTCCACAAGAACCACATTAGAAATACACTCAATCTTACAAACTATTGTGTTGCCAGTTTTACAACGTATGTGCATTGCCAACGATCCTAGGACATCACGCAATTAGGACCTTTAGTCAGCATGTCAACCTCTGATTGGACTATGTGGCGATGATGCCATAGCACTATCTCCGAGGCTGTTACTAATCCCCAAAGATGCCGAATGAGGGGAAGCATGGTTGTATGAAGGGCGTGTTGTCGTTCTGTACTTCTAACCACACGGGTATATATAACAGCTTTGATTGTCTCCTACTACCCAGCTGCATATCCAAAGTACCTACAATCGCAAGCATCACACCAGCAAGACTAGATTGTACTGTCAAACATATCACATATTGAAGAAACATCTGGTATTAGAACTACAAAATGACCACCTCCGCCTCTCGCCCGACGCCTGCGCACCAACTCTCTAATCCCGCGCCCATTTCAGCCGATGCAGCCTCGCGGGACGTAAACTTTCAAGGCCTGCCTATCCCACGAGGCCCTGTCAAAGCACAGCTCTCTTTCTACAAAGCCCCTGAGGACGGTGCACCGCCACACAACTTCGTCGAACCTCCTCCAGGCGTCCCCCAGCGAAATTGGAGAGACAATTGGGCCGAAGTCACCATCGAAGACCTGCGAGGCAAGGAACAAAACTTCACTCTTGACAACAACGCCTTCGACACATTCCAGAGCATCCAAAGTAGCCTTACCAGAGAAGATTTCGAAAACGACGAGACGATAAAAAGCGTCTACTACTCCGAGGTAGAAAATCTCTTGCTCAACAACGTGCAAGGCGCACAACGCGTTCTAATCTTCGACCACACAATCCGCCGACCAACCGGCAACCGCAACCCCGTCCAGCGCGTCCACATCGACCAAACCCCCCTCTCCGCCGCTGAACGCGTCAAACTCCACGCACCAGACGACGCTGAGAAGCTACTGCAGGGTCGCTACCGCATAATCAACGTCTGGCGCCCCCTCAACGGCCCAGTCATGGCTAGCCCGCTTGCAGTCGCCGACAGCCAGACTGTACGAGACGGCGATCTAATTCCTATTGAGCACCGGTACCCGCATCGCAACGGCCAAACGGCGGCGGTGGCGTATAATCCGGAGCAGAAATGGTATTATTGGTCAGGCATGAAGAATGAAGATAGACTGTTGCTTAAGTGCTTTGATAGCGATGAGGTTGTTGGGCAGTGGGGTCGTGTGCCGCATACTGCTTTTGTGGATCCTAGGACCCCAGAAGGTGCGGTGGGGAGGGAGAGTATTGAGATTAGGGCGCTGGTGTTTGGCTGAGGTTTTGGTAATATTGGAAGGTTCGTGTTGTGAAATAGTACCTCACTTTTTCTTTTCTTTTTCTTTTTGTGTTCAATACATTTAGCCTTGGCGTATTGCAATTGTGGTGTGTATTACTATTTTAATAAATCAGCGAACGATATATGAAAATAATTCTCCTCGATGACCTCGTCTACGTCTGTTGATAAAATCAACCCCCAATACTACGATTCTTCTCATCTTTAGGACTTCCTTTGCCTTGAAATCGCTCAGTAGCATCCAGAACAGACACACCAGATTGAGCCATCTCACATCAAGAAGAGATTCATGCCGAATCATGTACTAGATTATCCACGACCTACTTAGATCGTAGAGTAAATAAGTAGAATATATTCCTATTACTTCCAAACCCATCGTCTATTCCATAAATGCAATCATCGAAGCTTGGGTATCCTAAATGCCAAACTTTAAGAAGAAAAAAAGCGCTACGAGTCTAACCAAAACATTAAAAGGCCACCTCCATCTACTCTTTGAACCGTAAAGACCGTGATCGAATCATACTCATTAACTATTAAACTCTAGCATCGGGACCGGAAACTGAAACTCTCTCTAACCGTACAAATCTCTATTGTTGGGGTCGCTCTTTGGAGGCGGAGCAGTAGGTTGATTCGTTGCAGCATTTGCAGGCGCCTCGCTCACATTTGCAGGGGGCGCTGGGGCTGGAGTAGTGGGTAGAGGGGCTTGAGGCGGCGGGCTGGGAGGAGCGGAAATAGGAGCCTCGCGTGTAGCATCCTGTGCGGAATGAACTGGAGGAGGATGGCCTATCGCTGATACAGGAGAATGTGAGACTAGGCTCCCGTCCTTTGCTGCGTCGCCGTAGAAGCCGGCTTGTTGGGGAGGCGGGTAGACGTAGCCTTGTGGGGGTACGAAGGCCCCATTTGGTCCCTGAACCCAGCCTGGGGGTGGAGGACCGTAGTAGAATACTTGACCAGGAGCAGCAGGTCCTCCAACGGGGGGAGTTTGCGAGATCTCTGGGTGAAGGGGTTGGCCTGGAGGAACAATGCCTACGGTAGTCTTGCTGAACTGGCCCAGCAACTCTTCTGGGTACTTGTGTCGGAACCCCCACTTCCACCACGCCTTGAAAGCTGCACCACTGCCCATGTTCCTCCATTTCTCAGCGAGCAGCTTTTGGTCCTCTTTGCTGCGACGATCCTGCATGCGCGTGAAGCAGAGAATCCAGAGGGAGATGAGGACCCAGCAAATGGTACCGAAGCGCATGGCGCTCCTGCCCATCATGAGGCGGCGGAACCACATCCACGATTCGAGGAATCCGAGTAGGAAGAGGGAAGGGATGATGACTGCAATGGCGATTATGTAGTTCTTGAGATATGATCCGCAGTAGTAACAGTCATCGTAGTAAGAGCTTGAGCCGCCGGAGCCGGAGCCGGAGCCGGAGCCGGAGCTCGAGCTAGTTGAACGAGAAGGTGGTGGAGTGCTACATGAGGCAATGTAGTATTCGTAGTAGTAGTCTGAGGAGGTCTGGAAAGGTGCAGCGCCGGCTGTGAGATACCATGTCTCATACTTGTAGACGATGGAACCGTAAGAGTCAGTCGCTGTGCCTGTCTCGATTGACGACGGAGATATATGCGCCGTCACTCTTGTGGGAATGCTGACAGAGGCAGTGGTTGTTATGGTGACTATTGGTTTAGTCAGCATATGATGTTCACACGGTGAAACAGACAGACTGGTACGTACATGGCGTAGGACACGAGGCAGGTGCAGTCATTGTGACTTGCATACTGTATCTGGTGCTTGTGGTTACTGATGTTGATGTTGTTGTTGCAGTTGAATCGTAGTCGTATGTGGTTTCAGCAACAAGATCAGACTCTGCCACGACACCAGTGGTATAGTAGGATGCTACAATCTGAACATCCGTGTCGTACCAGTCCCGAGAAGTAGTGACGAGATATGGAGAAGCGGTAGGAATGGCATCGTCCTTGATGGTGCGGGTTGCCGTGTAGGTGTCAGTCATGACATCGCTGTAATCGTATGTATATGGAATCTCGGTGACTTGTTCTGCATAGCGAGCGGTGACAGTCCAGAAGGCTGCAGAGGAGTAACTGGAGGAGTAAATAGGATCGTAATACGGGTCATCCGTCGTAGACTGTGCACTCGCAATAGTGGCGCTTGCGAAAGCCACGAAGGCGTATCGAGCAGCCATCATGGCGCAGGATATGGAGATGAACGATTGAAAGTCGCGAAACGCGAGTATTAGATATTAGAGTGTACTGTTGTAGTGGCTTTCTAACGTCAGGGCAATGGCCTCATTTTAAGCAGAGTCAAGCACATGGCACCCTTCGCGACGGCTAGTTCACCGGTCGTGCAAAGGGTTCAGTCATATCTCGTTTCCCCTTAGCGGTCGAGGCAGCCTTGCGCTTGTTGCAGGGTCTGCCTCCTTTCCCCCAATCACAACGCGATCGCAATGGCAGTTGGCAAAATCTGCGGGAAGTCTAGATGGTTAGCGGAATTGTAGTGTCTATCTTTGGGTCCTTGCGCATCATGTCAGTCTAGTGGCATGCAGGGGTGGGCAGGAGGCCTGAGGAGGATAAAGGTTTGCACTGCCCGCACGTTTATTGACAAGACAACTTTGAGCTTGGTAATGCAGCAGTACGATTTTTTCCAGGGTCTATGTTGTAGTGCATTGATACGCCTTTCTTCTTGGCAATGACGTGGTTGGTGTTGAGTGTAGTCCTACAATGTTACGGAGGGGTGTGTTGACAGGACCGCGTTATGGTGGCGTTTTTATGAAGACACACGCGACATTGCAATGTCTTGGCGGCACTTGAAATTTCATCTCTGGCATTTGCGCTTCGGGCCACAGTCCCTTAGGTCTTAGGAATCCCATGCGCTAAGCTTGTGAAAACAAGCACAAGCATCTGATATTCCTCTGGCCCCACGTGTTCCAGACTTTGCAGGTGGCATCTGTTGTGGTCACGTAACTGCACAAGAACGTCTCTCGTCTGTTCCTGATGATAAGCGTATACATACCTACTACCTACTGGGCGGTACCCTATCTGGTATACTTGAGATAAGCGTAGAGCGATTTGGGCATCCGTGTTGGCGTTGTTCCTGGAAGAGTCATCCTATGCACGCTGACAGCATGCTTGAACCGGCATGGTTACATCAGGTACCAGCACATACATACACGCAACAATCAGTTAATGATTCCCATTCGATACAATGCAAGGCAACCATTCAGCTATCGGCAGTAGACCGGACCAAAATAGAGATGATATATCGAAAGAGATCGATATCTTGATAGTAGCATCGTAGCATATTCCATTGTGGTCATATGTTAAGCATTCTACCACGGCAACTCCGAGACTAAGCGAACGCAATCCTCACCAACCGGTTTTATCGCACGTCCAGACTTAATCATGTAGAAATTCTGTCGGTAGCATTTTTGTCCATCTCAAAAAGCAACAGCTATACTGATTAGTAGAGAGATGACGCAAAGTAGAGGTACTCATGAAAGTACTGAAAAGTGCTCCCGTGGACTCTTGTCAACGCCGAACCAATGGCGACAAAGCGTTTATAAGGCGTCCAACATTTGGTGTTGCACTCTATTCTCATCGCCGATGTGAATTGGTGTTGACACGAGGGCTACAGAGACCTTCAATCCCACCATCCTTTCGCATATTGCCTTTGGTGTGTTACTGTAAAGCTGAAGAAAGTTTGTCCGAGGATACTGGAGCTTACAAATGAGGCAAGCCGTTTTAAGAGCTATGTAGTACCCACTCTGTATTATAGGGCTTGCAAAATCTGTGAACCAGTCGTCATGGTTACATTACACCTCGCCCGCTTTATCGGCTACTCCATAGCCGATAGTTACATGTCGTAAAGATGGATCACGATTGAAGAGAGACGGTGTCTGTATAAACATCTGATACCCATGTGTTTAGACTTTAGCTACGACAGGCTAGCGCCACTGACCCCACCCGCCTAATGCTACCTCGACGTGTTCAGCCTCACAGCCCCTTGCCATCTATCCTGTACCTCAACAACATTCGGAAGGCTTCATGAACAGCCTCTACAGCCAATCATGGGCTCCAAATCTCCAGAGGAACATCAGCAAGGCCACAATGGTGGGTGTATAGCCAATCTGAGTATATTTATACAACATTCTGACAACTTTGGCTAGGGTCGTCCGGAGACGACGCAATTGCTGTGGTTAACCCGCCCAAGTCAGCCGTCGCGAGCGGCTTGCTTCAAGGCATGCTCGAAGGGCAGGGAGAAGACGGTGGCAATGACGACGACGATGATGAGAAGAACAGAGCTGACGTGAAGACAACGGATGGTAAGCTAATTGCATTTGGTTGAAATGCAGATATTGACCCATCTAGGCGCTAAGAAAAAGAGGAAGCGCAACAACAAGAAGAAGAACAAGAAAGGATCAGCTACACAACAGTCATTCCCACCCAGAGTTCCCCTGTCGGATCTATTCGATGGACGTCCTTACCCGGAAGGTCAGATTGTCGACTATGGCCTGAAAGATGACAACCTCCAACGTACTACGGCTGAAGAGCTCCGGCATGAAGCTGCCATGAGTAACATGAGCGGAGACTTCCTCAAGGACTATCGCAAGGCCGCTGAAATACATCGTCAGGTCAGGCACTATGCACAAAAGCTGGCCAAGCCCGGCGTGTCCATGACCTACCTTGCCGAAGAGATAGACGAAAGTGTCCGTGCACTGACTGGTCACCATGGTCTCGAACCTGGCGACAGTCTCAAAGCCGGGCTGGCATTTCCGACGGGACTTTGCCTGAACCATATAGGAGCCCATTGGACGCCAAATGCAGGTGCCAAAGAAGTCTTCCTTCAGCATGATGATATCCTCAAAGTTGACTTCGGGGTCCATGTCAACGGCAGGATTGTCGACAGTGCATTCACTGTAGCTGCTAACCCAGTCTACGACAACCTGCTAGCAGCCGTAAAAGCTGCCACAAACACCGGACTGAAGGTAAGCAACAGTCCACTTCTCACAAATATTCCGAATCTCTATCTAATACATTGATCCACAGGAAGCAGGCATCGACGCCCGAATCGACCACATCAGTGAGTGCATCCAGGAAGTAATGGAAAGCTATGAGATCGACCTAAACGGCAAAACAATCCCCATAAAAGCCGTCCGCAACATCACCGGCCACAACATCCTCCGCTACCGTATCCACGGCGACAAGCAAGTCCCCTTCATCAAGACCAAAACCAACCAACGCATGGAAGAAGGCGACATCTTCGCCATCGAAACATTCGGTAGCACAGGGAAAGCTTATCTCCGCGACGACGTCGGCGTCTACGGCTACGGACGCAGTCAGCACGCCAGCACGGCTGCACTGCACCATGCATCCGCGAAATTGCTTCTCAAGACCATTGACGAAAACTTTGGCACACTGGTGTTTGCGCGTCGCCAGCTCGAACGTATCCCCGGGGTAAAGAGTTACCATCTGGGTATGCGCTCGCTGGTCAATAGCGGTGTTGTTGAGGCGTATGCTCCGCTTGTTGATGTCCCTGGCTCGTATATTGCGCAGTTTGAACATGTGAGTTGATATGTCTGTTGCATTATCTGGTAGGAACAGATTTGCTGACGGTGGTTACTTTCTCAATACAGACAGTCTTACTGCGTCCTACGTGCAAGGAAGTCGTTTCTCGTGGAGACGACTACTAAAGCGGGGGTTTGGAAATCAGGGCGATAGGAAGCAGACTCGGCTAATTCGTGTCTGTGAGAAGTTGCAGACAAACAGTGTGAGTTTGATGGTCGTCTTTGATGCTGAGAGTAGTTCAGCGCCATTCATTTTTTTTAGGGAATCTGTGATGCCTTGGTTTCAACACAAAAGGTCACAGCAGGTCGGCAGAAGAACCGTTTTCAACAACGTTACTTAAACACATCATATAGTTTGATAAAAATCACATACCAAGCAACAACACTCAACCATCATGGTGAATATCAAAGTAGCGCATATAAATTACGAGCCTATACTTCAAAACTAACTAAAAGAAAGAAAGGGGGCATGAAAAGGGGGAGTCGCACAAGGATTCGGCGCTGGATATCTATCTATTGCGAATTTACGCAGCCGAATCACTCAAAGAAGGGTTGGGGAGGGTAAATAAAGCAATAAGGACCGGGAAAAGAGAAGAAAGAAAGAAAGAGAAAAAAAGACTCCGACATGCCCAGCTTCTCCAGCAAAGACATCGAGCAACCATCCAAAAGACCCCCCCCCCCCAAAAAAAAACCTCCCAGCCCACCCAACTTACTACGCTTTGTTGCTTGCTACTTCGCTCCCTTCCATATCAAATACATTATCATATCGTACAAAACGCTAACCAAAGCGTGACAAAAAAAAGAAACAAAACGTGAAAAGCGTGAGAGAAAAAACAAATACTTGCATCAACTAATCTCATGTATACCATCAAAATCCATACTGTCGTCTAACCGTACCTCGTGGCCTGCGTCCGGAACCAGGTCCGATATCGATGCTCTGAAGCTCGAGACTGAGCGCCATGTCTTCGTTCTGGGAGCCGTAGGCGCCGCCGCCCATGTCGAGAGGCACCTTGGCTGGAATAGGGGGTGCAGTGATGCTGTGGCGCTGGGTGCCATGGCGATCATAGCCAAGGCTACCGTACGTGTTTGGGTTCTCGCGCTCACGAAGGACTTGCCTGTCCGGCATGTTGTACTGATGAGCCGAGTCGTAGGAAGAGACGGGACGGGGCTGTGGATCGCGCTTCTGCAGTCTGTTGCGTCCCATTGAGCCGGTCTGTGGAGGATGCTGGCTTGCGAGGACAAGTGCACCGGCATTCACAGGCGAGTTGTAGTCGTTGAAATCGTGTCTTGCAGGCACAAGTGCTGTGCTGTTATCAAAGTTCATGCTTGTTGCGTGACGGAGGCGTTCCCTTTCAGCGCGGTCGCGTTGGTATCTTTCTTCGCGCTGCATCGCAGCCTCGAGGTCACGGCTACCGTTCAGCTGCGGTCGGCTGCGAGCTGGCTTTTCCTTGATAGTACCCTTGGGCACAGGTTCGGGAGCCCAGTTATCAACTGGTAGATGGTCCGAAGCATCAACGACCCGGCCACTGAAGGTGACAATTTGGCCCTTGTCGTTGTACTCCATACGGCTACCTGGTCGCTCTGCCTCATCATCCGAAGGAATCGGAGACTTGGACAACCTAGGATTGTAGACGTCAAAGCTGTCAGGGTTGAACGCTATCCCAGACAATCTACGTTCACCAAAGTTTTCTCCAGCAGGCGGTGGACGAGGCGACACTGACTTGCGGGTCGGCATACTACGTGCAGGCATCCTAGAAGAGCGATCCACAGCTGGGTTCGGAGAGTGACGGTCCATGTCAGGGTGGGGAGAGTAGCGATCCATATCAGGATGTGGAGAGTGACGTTCTGCGACCGGATTCGGGGAGTATCGTGGAGTCACACCGGGACTCGTGGCACGGGGTTTAATAAGTGGAGTGGGATCATACACTGGAGGAGACCTCTGTCGAGGCTGCTCCGGAGGGTCGTGAGGGTAGTAATCGTTCATGTGATATGCTGAATGGTGGACCAGTTCCTGTGACTGCACAGGGGCTTCAAACTGAGTGATAGCTCGATACTCGGCAGGCTCAGAGTAGTGGCGGAGCCTTGGCGTAGGCTCGTAAGACGGAGGTCTGTCATACGTTGGAGCTTCGATTTCTTGTCTTGCGGGGTTGAGCCCAGCGATAAGACTAGATGGCAAGGCGGGAATCTCCTGCCTCACAGACTCTTGTCGAAGGGGCTCCTGTCGGAGCGGAGAGGGAGCCATTATCTCCTGAGATATCGGGCGGCTCACTGGCTGCGTTTGCGCACGAGGATGAGTGTACCTTCGTTCAGAAGGCTGCCGGGGCATATAGTCAACAGGCTCGTACGTCTGAGGCATATCATCGAAGCTGATCCGACGAGAGTCTTCTTGAGCTCGTGGCGTGAAGTTGAGCGGCGCCGGAGCATCGTCCTGATACATTTCACGACTTTCCCTGTGGGCATGAGGAAGTGTACTAGGGTTGCGGTTGTGCATAGGCGGTGGCGGTGGCATATCGTCTTCGTCCTCAACCATGGGCTGCATTGCACTACGTCTTCGGTGGGTAGGGCTTTCCTCCTGTGGTGGAGGAGCTTCGATGAATCTCTGACCATAGTACGGGTTCTGAGGGGATGCCTGGTCCTGGCCATACTCCCGACTGCGGCTGCTTCGTAAAGGTGCGACTTGATAAGCAGGATCCTGATACTGCTCGTGGACATGAGATGGGGCAGGCTGCTGTGGTGGCTCGGCCCTCGTAGGCGGCGCCGGTGGCGGCTGCTGCTGATGTTGCAGCAGTTGCTGTTGTAAGTACTCAATTTGTTTTTGCTGGTCTTGTATCTGTTGCTCATGTGCTGTGGGCTCATAGGTATGCTGGGTCGGGACAGCTGGGGCCGAGTGCGAGTGGACTGGCTCGGGAGGTTGATGCTGTTGATAACTACGGGGAGACCGAGCGTCATCTTGTGACATTTTCCTTGGCCCTGGGTTGCGTACATGTTGTGGCAGAGGGTCGATGGGCTTCACTTCGTACGGTTTGGGTGCTGCGTACGACATGTCGAAGCTCTCTTCTCTCGGCATAGGTATCCTCTGATTAGATGATCGCGGATTGGGCGGTGTGCTATACGCAGACTGGGGGGCATGGCGTTGAGACATGCTCTGGCTCGATGCCGACGCATGATGCAGTGGGGATGAGTCCGGCACGGGCCTACGACTGGGTGGGTCTGGCTGGCTTCGATGAGAAGGCGGTGTTTCGTTTCGCGGTTGCTGGTGTCGTGGTGATCCTAATTCTCGAGGTCCAGCACGCATGCCCCGCAGTCCTCGGTGTTCAGGTGTCTGGAGGGGTGATGGTGTTACGCCTGTTGGGTCGCTGGGCAGCGGTCGACGCTTGACTGGAGCCATCTCTCGTGCTCCACCAACAGTCGCCTTTCCCTCGGGTCTGGTTGAAGTTCGCTTCTTCTCCTGGACAGCATTCTCTCCCTTGGGACGGGTATCGTAGAAGGTGATTTCCATGCGGAGCTCGCCGGCATACTTTCCTTTGCAATTGAGGCCCAGCCACTCGTCGCTCTGTCCACCGCCAGGCGTGATGACGGATTGGAGGTTTGCCCAGGCCTCGCCAATCAGCTCCGTCTTCTTGTCGTCATTGAACACGGAGACCTTGAGGCGGTTGTAGTCTGGAGAGTCGTGAACTGTGAAGCGTAGTTCTTGGTCCCTGCATACGTCAGAAGTAGGGCTTTGGTTAGTGGGCCATGGACTCACCATTTTGGAGTCTGACCTCCGCGTTTGTCTGTCCGAGTCTTCTTTGCCTCTTTACCTAGACGGGCAGCACAGTACGGGTCCTGTTTTCCCATTGTGCGTTTGTTGGGTAGATTTCTGGCGCGGTCCATGATGACTACCAGGGTGCCTATGACCGGCCCGTCGACAGTCATGTCTGAAAAGATACCGGCAGCGTGGGCGCCGCCAAAAGCGGGCGTGTGAGCCGCCTTGCTCGCCATGACGAGGCAGTTTTTTTTTGTTGGTGGTGGTGGTGTGCCTATGTTGTGGTGGGGAAGGAAGGAAGGCGCGTCGAGCGGGATTGGAAGCAACGAGTGGTGAGGCCGCCTGGGCAGCGTAGTAGTAATAGTAGTAGTGGAACTCCGGAAGCGGACATGCGCTGCAACTGCAGGCAGAGCAGAGCAGAGCAGAGCAGGACGGAGGGCGGAGGAGCAAAAATGAGCGGGCTGCTTTGGACTGCGGGAGGCTACGAGTGCAAAAGCAAAAGAGCGACAGTGCAGCGGCAGAGGACGTGTGTCAAGAATGGAATGGCGACGCGTAGGGCAGTAGGGCAGAACTGCAGTTGTTCTAATCGATGTTACGCATGCTGTGGCTGGGAATGTCCAGCCTCTCTCAGCTCTGCTTCGGCTTAGCCCCGAGCGCTCCACGCCAATCACGGGGCCGCCTGCTGCGCCCACCACCCACTTTGTCATCTTCCCCGTCAGATCACTAGGGGGCGTACCTTGCAGCTCCATCAAGTTTCTTCGTTAGCCTTGTTTTGGCCTGCGAACGCCCTGCCGCGCTATCGCAAATGCTCGTTTTGCCTGTCCCAAAATGCCGTGGCTGGTTCGCGCTTGTCCGTCACACCATATCAGTGCCCCTCTTTGCCCCAAGCGACCGCGAAATATAGAACGCCCGGCATATCAAGGCCTCTGCACCCGGCTCCCAGCGGTCCCGTTCCGGTGTGTACAGTCTACACTCTGCCCTCGCCGTGAGATACGCACTCGCTCGTATCGCATCCTGCTGCTCGTCCGTCTCACTGCTTCCTTCGCCTCACCCTTCTTGTACCCTGTGCCGTGCCATGCCATGCCATGCCATGCCGTGCTTCTCACTGCATGCGGCAGGTCACGCCTACCCATGCCCTGTTGTCCGTTCCAAGTATTTGCATATCGGCGGCACTACTCTCCGCGCTGAACAAGGCCTTGGTCGCTGTGCTGCGGTGCAATTCTCTCCAGTCTGGCCGTGGCTCGGCCAGGCTATCTTGATTGTCGAGGCCATGGTGCGGCCGGTTTCTACGGGGACAGAGTCGAATCCAGGGATACCGTTGATCTCCCGCCCGCCAATCGAGCTATGAGATCATTCCACTCCTCGGGCGGCCTCGAATACGGCCCTTGGAGATGGCTGGTGCATGCATACTTACATACTTATTGCCAGAGGGCGGCTACATGCGTGCTATTACCGAGTCGCCTATTCGTCACATGTCAAGAGTCATGTCGTCGATTGTGTACATACCAGTACGCACCGCCGAAATTGCTACCGGACAATCTCAAGGCCAATTGAACGTGAATCTCTTGGCGATCTCTAAGCGCAACCGAGTCCGCTGTGTTGGGCCTCAGCAATTCATTGCCGCGGACGTTGCGTGTGTTTGTTTTGGCGCAAACACATCATCACTAGTTAGTCCTACTATACTTTGGGATGGAAAGGGCATAGCGTGCCTGTTCCCGTGACAGCGCGTCCCCGCGTTTCGCGACTTCCCTGCGCCCACGACAACCCTCGCCACATATCACTCTCTCAATCGCGGCACGCAACAGCCACGCATCTGTGCCATAGCAGTCAAAGCTTCGTTATTTTCCAATGTCGCTGTCAAGATGCCGACACATACGCCCTCACCGCACCGATTCCTAGCTCCTAATTCGCATTCAGCGCAAAAGTCAACTAGACCACATTCGAGCCTACGTAATGCTACTGCAATTCCGCCATCCGCTTCTGCAACGATTCCTACGCCTGCAGGATCAGCAGAATTACAATTCAAAAGGTTGGCGCCTGCGAAACGCTTTGTCGTTGCGCCACTGCAAAAGAATCATGCTGCCGAAACTGCAAAGCTCAGCGAGGCAGACGCCAAGCCACATGATGATGCACAGTTGCAGCACACGCCGCTCCCACGACCACGCAGAAAGCTCCAACGAGTGGAAAGTATAGAGGAACCATCTCAATCAAGCCAACAACATGCCAATGACCATGTCTATGCCTCTGGCGTCATATCCTCCGTCGAAGACCAGGATATGCTGTCTGACGAACTCGAGCAATATGAGCAAAACGAAGAAGATGACGAAATGCTCTTTGAACCAGCGACACGGTCCAAACGGCGCCGCAGGTCGTCACCCAATTCCCCATCTTTGCAGCCACTAGAGCCCTCAACAACGCACCGTTTCAAGGTCGCACCGTCCCGCACCCCTGCACCGTTCCCAAGCATTGCGTCCGTCGCAGCCAAACCTTTAGCACCTTCAAGTCGTCCTCATTTCATTCTCCCTGAATCACAAACTTCTCCTCCCAAGGATTCCAGACCCCCACCAGAAATTTTCTCTCCATCCCGCAAGCATGCAAAGTACGTTCCTGGAGGTCTTGCGTCCACGGCTTCCGTCTGGATTATTGAGGCGGCGAATACGGGTTTTGCAGCGCAAGAAAGAAGCAGCGGATCTTGGGGCCGCGACAAGGATAACGGTGTCAAGGCACGCGTGAGAATTAATTGCTTGTCTAGAGGCAGAGCGAGTGAGCATGAGATACAGGAACTAGAATGCCATGCTGGTGGTGTGGTGTTTGCGAGGGGCCAACTAGAGCTAGGCATATGTAATTCTTCAGCGGTGTCCAGTACTTTCGGCCAAAATAGCAACACAAATATTCTCCTTGCTGGTCAGGGTAGTGTGAGAGGCTCAGGAGGCGTCAAAGTCAATGTTGGGAGCACCATTGGTGTACGACCACCCACGTGGGAGATTGACGTTGGCGACGAGCAGTGGTTGGTGGCTGTCGATTGGGTGGTACTGTAAGTACGGCATCGAACCAGGCAGGGTCTGTAAGGATATGAGTGATGATTTATGAGCATGAAGAGACTTGGATTTAGCCAAAATCTACGAATGAATGAGTTCTCAGAACTAATCGTTACGTATCTTGTCTTAATGTAAGTGTGATTAGAAGAGGATGCCTAATGCAATGTATTGGTACACTCCCCTCCAACTATATCTCAAGTATTTGCAATTCCACTTGAAGCGGGATTGACAGATCTTGCTTGAGTCATTGTACTGGCCTGCGTCCGCCAATGGCGTTGGAGGGCTTTGCAATGCTGGACTGATTACAGTGTAAACTACAATTACGGTCCCGGCAAGGCAGCAGCATGACGAAATATGGTTAGAAAAAGGATACGTAGGAAAGTACAGCGCTCTGATGCTTATAAATACGCCATGTCCCGCCTCCTATGCTTCTTATCCTATTCTCGTTCTCACTCTTTTCCGAAAATACTTCTCTGCTCTTATCTTTATTCTTTTTTATTGTTATCATCCCCTCTAGACCTAACCCACCACACTAAGTTCAACCCTCAACGGACGTATGCCGACTAGGCATACCTCCATTAGGTACGGCAACCAAAATACGGCTGCGACGAAGACAGCAGCATAACGAACTATGGTTTTAATAAGGACACGCAGTACAGCAAAGTACTTCGATGCCTACAAATTCGCTATATCGTCGGTCTGTCTCTTCCATCTCATCTCTCTCATCGTATTCCAATCACGAGTCATTTCCAAATCCATCTCTTATCGCCATAATGTCCACCTTTATCCCACGGCTATTATCTAGATTTTCTCTCTATAAGATACCTATTAGGATTTCTTCTTCTTCAACCGCAATATTGGCTTTTTTTAATAAGCCGCCACCACCATAAATCTACTCGCAAACGGGGGAATAGGCCGAACCTATCGCAAAAGCTACTCTTCCCAGTAGAACTATCCCCTGCGCCTCAGCCTATAATACCAGATTATTACACAAAGTGTTAATCACGATTTATATTTCTTCGGTATCAGCGACGAATCAAGACCACTACGACATCTCCAAATGCTATGCCAGCTTTTTTCTACCAGCCATTCGGCGATGGCGAAAAAGACCTCGGTCACTGGATAATTGGTCTGATGCGCCATATAGCAGACCCTCCGAACCCAATCTATCGCATCAAATACCAATCCAGATTGGTATCTTCGATAATGCGATGATAGCTTTCTATGACCGTCCGCCTGACGATGCTATTGAAGACGTACGCCAATGAATATATCTCTGGAATACATCATCCGCTTCCGAAAGACCATGGATAACTATTACACTTCACCTGATAAGGAGCCAAGCCAAAAATTCCATATCCTGAATGGGATTCGGACGCTTGGGCTGAGACACCGAAATAACAGCCTGAGCATTTCTTTGTAGAAAGGAAGCCGGATTCTAATCACATGCATTAACAGCTCGAAGGCTGGATTAGACATCATCCTTAGTTACCACCTTTGCGGACTTGTAGCGACCGATGAAAGTAGAAGGTATCACTATCCCAAGAACTAGCCATGATACCGAAAAGGGAGACTGAGCTTGAGCTTGAACGATTGATTTCGGGAGACTTTGGAGCTCGGCGCTTTCTCAATCAATTCAGTAAAACCCCCCTCACTACGTCCGTTGGAATGGGGTTGAGTGGCTGCCGGACTTGCCGCTTGAAGAGAGGAAGTGTAAGAAGTATAAGAGCTTGATAAAAGATGTTGGGACAGCAACAAGACAAAGAGAAACGACAAGTCTAGAAAATATAAGCGTGCAGTGACATGCGAAAAGACATGGTCCACATCCAACCGGTTGGCAGAAGGAGTTTATAGCGAGGATGTGAATCCATATAGAATCCACCTCTGCATAGCTTGGTAGATGTGTGGTAGCGGCTTATCGAAGAAAGCTAATGTTGCGGTTAAAGAGGAAGAAATCCTTATAGGTATCTTATAGAAAGAAAATCTGGATGACAGCTGTAGGATAAAGGTGGACATTATGGCGATAAGAGTCGAAATAGATTTAGAATTAATTTTTGATTAAAATACGATAAGAGAGATAAGATAGAAGAGACAGACCGTCACAACCATAGTTCGCTGTTGCTGCCTTCGTCTCAACTGTATTTTATCTGTCGTACCTAATAGAGGTGTGCCTAATCGATATATATACGTTAAGAGGCTTTTACTAATATTAATAAATTATTTTTACTTTGACTGTAAAGTGAAACTTGTCAATACCCGATTGTAGCAAATTGGGATATAGCCGGCTGTTATTTTCTAAGATAATTAATCTAATACGCTGTATAGCAAACAGAAAAGAAAAAAGTCAAATAGTAGTGAGAGTGTAGTTGCAAGAAGAATAAGGAGTAGATATGTTTAGTGCTTTAGCTTTATAGTAAGGCGCTAGGTATTTTAATAAGATAGGGATGATAAGGGCGTCGTAGACGTGTCGTTTGGATTAGCACGTAACGGTATTAATAAGCATAGCTGAGGATAGGTGCGCGTGATTGTTGTTCTAATTATCTACCTTACTAGTTCTAATAATCCCCAGGTTTTTTTTTCTCACACAAACGTGTCTCAAAAGGCTGGAGCCAAAAATTGATTCCATATAGGCCAAAACTGCCAACCTGCTCCACAACATCGGCTTACGAGAACGATTCGGGAAAAATTCACATCACTATCATGATTTTTATGCTGATAGAACGCTCAACATGATTACAATTCAATAAGGCAACGCAAGTTAAGGCATTCCCGCCGTTACCCTGGCTCCTCCTTCAGATTCTCCCCCAAGCATAGACATGAACACTTGGGTAACATCTGGCAACAAGATTTGGACTTGCTCGGATGTGCACCTTGTACTAAAGTACAAGCCGAGGAAGAACCCTGAGGGGGGCAGAGACAAGTGCTTACGCTGCAGGAAAGTTGCGGAGAAGATCAAAGCATGGATGGAGAAGATGGATATTACCCCATTCTCGGCAGAGGAGAAGAACGAGTAAAAGGGGCCGGAAGGGGGGAGAGGGGCCAATAGGAAGAATATGACCGAAGGGCCCAGATGGGGTTGGAAGAAACAAGATGACAAAGTTGACTGATACACAACCCGATAGGCAGGATATCACTGCTGGCCAATATGGCAACGTGGTCTCAACTTTTGCGTAGGTTTCTTCGGGCAGCGCAGGCGCTTGTAGATGGTAATTAAAGTTTACTCAAAGTCGTCTCGGTTTCCCTATCTGATAATCAGTGGACCAATTGATTGTGTTGAACTCCAAGGCTTACTGCTAGCACGCTTGGCGCATGTTGACAGATAAGGACATCACGTGACGAGTGCTCATATGTGCCCCCCACCTTTTGGACGACATGCAGTATGTACTCTACTGTAAAGATGACAATCCCTTGCTTACACAGCACATGTCGCCTCCCAATCTACCCCCCATGGTCGCACGAAGCATTGAGCTGCGAACACGTACAGGCATCAGATTCGCCCGCGGCATTGGCTTCTCCTCGCTCACTGTACATTCTCCTCTTTTTGCAACCTCGATAGCCGCTGGATAATCGCGCAACCGACGACGCCATGCATGTCGAATACTGCCCACGGCGGTAGATTAGAGGGGGTCCTGGTCTAGAGGAGAGTGGCCATTGCATCTCGATGCAGACGGGCAGAGCTTGGGCGGCGGCGTCCATGGGCACGCAAAGATGCCCAGTCGACTGCAGTTCGAGTGCTTCGCTGTAAGTACATAGCAGTACGTAGAGCAGACGGCCAGGGGCTTCGAGGGTGGGTCACATGGTCGTCTTGCTCGTCTGATTGTCCCACGTCGCAGAGAAGGCCATGGAAGCCAGAGACGGTCGGGTCGGCTCGACCTAATCGGCGGGCTTAGTGGCGCACTCCCTGCTCCCCGGCCCCTCGCCACGTCACTCAACCTCATCTACCCTCTCATTTTTGCTATTGTCGCCAGGTCTCTCCACGCCGCCCCCTGCATCGGCATCCGTTTTGGTTCGTCGGCAGACGAGGCTTTCGTACGGGGTGCACCTTGTTGACTGACGTTATCCCGCGCGCCCATGCTTTCCGGTGGCCGTGATTCTGGCCGCTCCAGAGTGACTACAGTACCAACGCTACATCGCGCTTCATCGCTCGCGACACATGCTGCACCTAGAACCCTACATCGGGCCAATGGCGGAATCACTGCGGATGCCCGAGCCCACCCTCCGGTCTCCCAATCTTCTCTCTTTCTGAACGAACGGTGATTCCCTACGTGGCCCAATGAGACCTACAGGCCAAGCTCGCCATCCCTCAGTGAGGCTTGCGGGAGCAGTCGGGAGTACCGCCCAAGGCTTGCCGAACTATTGTACGCACACTGCGCGAGATTTCTTCTTGCAATCTCTAGCATCGTGTCTTGTGACAGCTGTCCTGCAATTCTCCTCCGCCTGGTCGAGGTGTACCGTCACAGCTTTGGCCCATTGAAGCCACGCACATAGCTCATCCACCACCCGCACTTCCCCTAGACTGACACCATCTCTTATTCGCCTCTCCGCACTCAACCTTTTGCGCCCCACGTTGTGTGTGTGCCCATTGCATATCCCTTTGTTGATTATTGCCTGCAATGGAACGACGGAAACGTCAGATATACTAGCACGTAGCACCACTTGTCATATCTTCGGACCTTAAACCCACCATCACTCTGTGTCTGTCTGTCTGTCTGGCCCATCATGCGTCAATTCCAGCAGGTTTCGATTTCAAAATGGGAGGACCCATACGGTAACTCTGCACCAAACACTGTGCAGAACATTTATGGCACACCAAGTCCACCACCACCACAACCACAGGGCTACTACGCCACAGCAAACATACCGCAACCGCACAGCTATTATGCCGCACAAAGCGCACCACCACCGCCGATCATTCTTCGACGTGTTGTGCCAACACCCCCTACGTTGTCGTATGCGATTGGTAGCCAAGGGGCAGGTGAGGAGAATAAGAATGATAATGATCAGCTGGACCAATTGACAACTATAGATGCAGGAGATTCCCCAGCTGCACCTCCAGCAACGTCAGATGCTACTGTACAGGCAACCCCCGGGGGGACTGCCCCTGAAAGTTTATCAGCACAGGCACCTGTTCTTCAAGGTAGTAAGAGTGACGATGTCACAGGAGATATTGTAGCTAAAGATGTCAAAGGTGAACCTCCAGGACCACCGCCACCTCCACCAGCACCAATAGATGTTGCTCCTATCGCGGTTCAACGAAGCCCGCCAGCACCCCCTGTGCAATACTCAAGTCCTCCACCACCAGCACCAGCACCTCCTGTGCAATATTCGAGTCCTCCGCCACCAGCACCAGCACCTCCTGTGCAATATTCGAGTCCTCCACCACCTCCACCAGCACCAGCACGCGTGGACCCATCACCTCCGGCATCAGTTGTAGGGAGTGAGAAGAGTGGTGAGTCCGAGCAGGCCGCTCAAGAGCCCCCCAAATCCCCAACAACCAAATTTGTTCATTTTACCTCTGACACAAAAGACCCAGACGCCGCAGAAGATGGTAAGAAGAAGAAGCCAATTGGGTTTACTAGAGTCAAAGCTACTGCATTCGTTCGCCTGAAAAAGTCATCGACGACTCCTTCTGCACCCCCGCCAAAAGAGGAAAAGAGAAAAATCATTTCTCCGGAAGGCTTCATTAGAAGGCGAAGAAGAAGCTCACTCTTCTCGTCCTCATCGTCCGAGAAGCTGAAGCCCAGCAAGGAGGAGAGATCCAGAAGCAAGAGAGGAAGCAATGATCCTAGTCCGCCTTCGAGTGATGCTGGGACAATCTATGTACCGTCTGCTCCTTCATCTATCATTTCTGAGAGCGTCATCGTCGAGGAGACACCAGCAGATGTTGCGCGATCGATTGTCAGCGAGCCTGCCCCACTACCACCACCTCCACCACCTCCTCAACCGATAGAAGTCCCTGCCCCTGTAGAAACACCGCCCGTCGCAGAAGAGCCTATCATCGAAAGCGAACCAGCACCGGCAGCACCTCCTGCAGAAGCTCAAGAATCCTCACCCGAGGAGCCACCACAACCAGACGAACCCGCTGCCCCTGCCTCTGATGCCAGCGAATCTGCGCCTCCTCCTCCTGTAGCGCCATCATTAGTGTCGGTTGAATTTGTCGTCGCTGAAGTCGTTCCATCACTAGACGGATCAACGACTGAAGCCACTGACAAAGACGAAAATCAGGCTCCAGAACCATCAACAGAAGTCAGTGAATCGACCAACGAAGAGAATCAGGTAGCTAGTGAGCCCGCTTCCGAGCCGGCACCGGAGCCAGCGCCGGAACCAACACCGGAACCAGTGCTCGAGCCAGCACCGGAGCTAGTGGAAGAGCCCGCAGCAACAGAGCCAGCTCCAGAGCCAGCTGCAGAACCAGCTGCAGAACCAGCTGCAGAACCAGCTGCAGAGCCAGTCGCAGAGCCAGTCGCAGAGCCAGACCAAACCCCTGCGGCCGAGACTGCTACTACTGAGCCTGAAGCTGAGATCGCCGTCGAGGCACCATCTGAACCACAAGAGGCCGCTGCCGAAGAGGCAAAGCCCGCCGAAGATTCTACCGCTAGTGATGAGGCAGACGCAACACCAGCAGCCCCTGAAGAGGCTGCTGCTGCTGTTGAAGAACAACCTGCTGCCGAAGAAAAGACTGTCATTGAAGAAGAGCCTTCATCAGAGGATGTACCTCCTGCGGTTGAAGAAAGCTCTGCCACCGACGCGCCGTCTGCCAGCGAAGAAGCGCCGGCTGCTGCCGCTGCTGAAGAGGCACCAGCAGAGGAACCAGTACCGGTTGTAGAGGAGTCACCAGTTGCCCCAGCGGACGCGCCAGCTCCAGAAGAGGCGCCAGCCCTAGAAGAGGCACCTGCTGTTGATGAGACTCCCGTAACTGAGGAGGTTCCTGCTAGTGAAGAAACCGCTGCTCCTGTCGAGGCGCCCGCAGAAGAAGAAACAGCCCCTCTGGCTGTGACAGAAGAAGTACCTGCAGCTGAAGAGACACCTTCAAGTGAAGAAGCCCCTGCCACTGAAGAGATTTCAGCTGTCGAAGTAGCCCCTGTCGCCGAGGAGGCTCTAGCTACTAGAGAGGCTTCTGTTGAAGCAGCCCCCGTTGTTGAAGGAGTTTCTGTTCAAGACGCTTCCGCCGAAGCGGCTGCTGCTAATGCTGCTATTGCCGCTGCCGCTACTGCCGCCGCTGCTGCCGCTGCTACTGCTGCTACTGCTGCTACTGCTGCCGCTGCTGCTGTTACTGCTGCTGCCGCTGCCGTTACTACTGCTGCTGCCGCTAATGCTGTTAAGGACACCTTGACCACTGAAGAGGCTCCAGTTGTTGAAGAGGCTGCCGTCACGGAAGAAGTGGTTGCTGTTCAAGAGACGCCCGCTGTTGAAGAAGCCGCCGTGGCTGAAGTACCTGCTACCGAGGACACCCCAGCCACTGAAGAGGCCCCTGTTGAAGTAGCCGCAGCTATCGAGGAAGTTCCTGCCGAAGAAGCTCCCACTATCGAAGCCCCTGCTGCTGCTGCTGCTGCTGCTGAAGAAGCTCCCACTGTTGAAGCTCCTGCTATCGAAGAGACTTCAGCCACCGAGGAAGTCCCAGCTGTCGAGGCAGTTCCTACCGAAGAAGCCTCCGCTGCTGAAGCCCCCGCCGATGATGTCCCTGCCACCAAGGAACTTCCTCCTTCTTCTTCTTCTTCTTCTCCTCCTCCTACTGCTGCTGCTGCTGCTGCTGAGGAAACTCCCACTGTTGAAGCCATTGCTACCGAGGAGACTCCAGTTACCGAGGAGACTCCAGCTACTGAAGAGGCCCCAGCTGTCGAGGCGCCCGCTGCTGAAGAAGCTCCCACTGTTGAAGCTCCTACTACTGATGAGATCCCAGCCACTGAGGAGGCCCCTGTTGAAGTAGTTCCTACTGCTGAGCAAGCTCCCGTCGAAGAGGCACCTGCTATTGAAGAAAACCCAGCTGCCGAAGAAGCTCTCATTACAGAAGTCTCCGCCGTTGAAACCCCTTCTGCTGAAGCTCCTGCTGCCGAAGAAGCTCCTACTACCGAGGAGACCCCGGCCACTGAAGAAGCCCCTGTCGCTGAAGAGGCGCCTATTGTTGAAGAAGCTTCTAAGGATGAGGCTCCAGTAGCTGAAGAGGCTCCTGTTACTGAGGATATTTCAACCACCGCTATTGAAGAGACTCCCGTTACCGAAGAAGCCCCTGTTACTGCAAAGGTTGCCACTGTTGAAGATGTCACTGATGACGAAGAAGCTCCTATTACTGAAAAGATTTCAGCCGCTGAAGAGGTTCCCGCCGCTGAAGCTCCAGTTACAGAAGTCCCCGCCACCGAAGAGACTCCTGTTGTTGAGGAAGCGCCTGTTGTTGAAGAGGCGCCCGCTGTTGAAGAGGCGCCCGCTGTTGAAGAAGCGCCTGCTACTAAAGAAGCGCCCGCTGTTGTTGAAGCGCCCGCTGTTGAAGAAGCGACTACTACGGAAGATGCGCCTGCCACCGAAGCCTCTGTTATTCAGGAAACACCAGCCGAGGAGAGTCCTGCTACTGAAGAAGTTCCTCCTGCCGAAGAAACCGTAGCTCCAGAGGATAATTCATCCATTAAAGAGACTCCTATGCCTGGGGGATTTCCTGAGGAGGCCCCCGCAACGGAGGAAGTTTCTCCTATAGAGGACATTTCGGCCACGGAGGATGTTCTTGCTACCGAAAAGGCCGCTGTCTCCGAGGAAGTCCCTGTCATTGAGGAAGCTCTCGCCACTGAAGAGGCACCCGCAGTAGAGGAGAAGGGTCCTTCAGCTTTGGTTGAGGAAGCACTCGCCAAAGAAGCCTCCCCCATTCTTGGAGAGGCTTCCACTGTTGAGGAGGCCAAGGAAATCCCTGCCACCAAAACTTTGCCCATAACCCAAGAAGAAAAGACTAGTGTCGCGGATGCTACGGTAGAAAGCGAAAGTGAAGCTGCACCTGTAGCCCAATGGCCAAGTGAGGAAAATGAAGCGGAAGTGAAGTTGCGGTCTGAAGAGGCTATCACGGATGCAGTAGGTAAGCATGCGTCCTACACTTTGCGGAGAATTGCGTCACCAAATAGAATGCACATCTTGTCCAGATGTTGATATATAGTAGCTGAATTTCAACCTTCCGAACCTCGCGCTCCTCAAGACACTGTCGATACGTCCTCGCCTGATGATGCCCCGACCGTCGAAGATCCAAGCGAAGACGCTGACGGCCACGATACCATAGCTGCAGCCGACGAAGATGACTCTATACCTGTTGAGGAAAGTTCAGACGACGATGATGCATCTTGCGATGACTGGATTGCCGATGGAGATGGCGGTGATTGGATTGCCGACGGAGATTCTCATGACGAGGAATCTGATCAAGACATTTCCGATTGGGAACAAGATGACGCCTCGTCACAATGTGATGCGATCGAGACGGATGCGTCTGAACATCATGATGGCGATGGCCCCAGCACTGGGTGGAGCTCGATGGAGCCAAAGGGTGAAGACACGGATAATTTAGAGTCACAGCAGGTGGCGGGGACTGTGGATGTGTTTACAGTCGAGGAAGCCAGCACGGGTTGCACGGACGAGGTCACAGAGTCTATTGTCGCCAAAGATATGCCCGTTGTGGACAAGACAGGCGCAGAGGCAGAGGTCATGACACAAGAAGGATCGACTGGCACACACCAAGCCTATGTCACGGATGTGATTGATATTGAAGCAGAAGCAGAAGCAGAATCGGCAGAGGCTGCTGTAACGGAGGCAGATGATGGGAGGGCTACTGGCAAGCAGGTTGAACAGCAGGAAGAAGCACTGGGCGGTGATGGGGCAGGCCATGGCGATGGCGATGGCAACGGTGTCGAAGCAGAAGCAACACCAGAATGCAGTCCGGGCGGTGATGCTGTGGGCGCACTAGAGGTTACACCTGTTCTGGACCCTGGTGTCGGTGAGGGAACATCGGCACAAAGCAATATGCTTCCCGAGGCCAGCGAAGCGGCCGTGGAGTCGGAGAAGCCCGATGACGTGGGAGAGGCGAGTTTGAGGGAGACGATAGGTAAGTAAACGCCCTCTGTTTTGCTTTTGACATTATTTTGTGTCGTGTGCATGTACCTCTTGTTGCTTGTCGCCGCTGGTGTCCGCCCTGCACGGCTCCGCGATAGCGCCCTGCATGCAGCGCATCGGGTTAGCGCGCTGTATGTGGGAAGCTGCCATTGGCCGCCCCAGAATTTTTGCTTGGTCCACACTGCCAACACACATTCTGCCCATGCCGTCTGGCTTATCGTCACGTGCCCAAAACCCTCCATCCAAAGTCGGGCTGCGATGCATACGCGCCATTCGCCGACAGTCACCATGCGTCGTTTTGCTTTGCGCTAGCCTGCCCGGCTGTTCTTTGCCTCCCGACATCCCCGTCGCTCGACAAGCCCGTCGTCCATCGTCTTCTTTTCACTCGTCATCTTTCCTTCTCCAACCACCACCGCCGGCAATAGTTTTGCTGCACACAAGCCGCCCTCGGCAACACACTCACTAACTCGACACAGTCGACACCGCTGCCAATCCACCCCCAGCCGAGGACACACCGGACGAGTCATGCGCAATCACCCCGGCTCACGCTACTAGTGAAGTGAGCCCAAATTCGGCCTCAGAAGAGGCTGGCGTACAAGCACAAAGTGATCAACACGCTATCCAAGACGACCTCCCTGACGACTCTCCTGACGAGCCACACGTTGCTGATTCCTCTCCGCAACACACCGACCAAGATGTTATAGCAGCAGATTCAGGAGTAGCAGAAAGCGAAACTAGCCCTGCTCCAGATATACCAGCCACTGAGATATCCGAAGCGGTAAGTAAAAATAATTTATGAAACATCATCTCACCCTCCTATGCTCTTCAGTATATGCACCTTTGCGAGTCCATGCTCATGAGTAACAGATCGCTACCAGCCAAGCTTCTCTAGAGGTGTCTGACCCCCCCGAAGTGGACATGAAGGCCAACGCAGTCCTGGCAGTCCCAGCACACCAAGAGAAGAAACCAGAAGAGCCAGAGTCCGACTCGGGAAGCGAGCCTGAGTCTGAAGATGACGACTGGTCTGGGTCTGAAGTTTCATCTTTGCCTGCCGATGATGTCTCGCAGGTTGATGATGACACACCCAGCTCTGAACCTGGACAGGATGTGAACGAAAAAGTTCAAGATGCCGCTCCCGAGCAAAAGGCTCCTGTAACGGCTGATGAGCCCGATGCACCATTAGAGAACCAAGCCAAGGATGACGATGACGTCGACGATGGTCCCGATGGCTCAGGCTCCGAGGTGTCAGCAGCAGCCGAACCCGAAGAAGGCGAATCCGGGATCACGGAAGACGCGAGCCAATCTGGAATCGAAGAAGATGGTTCGACTTGTGAGCCACCTGTGGACCCTTTGCTAACTGAAGACCCTGACCCGCAAGGTTCTGAAGCTGGCCCAGAAAGTGCTGCCAAGAGTGTTATGGATGGCCCTGCTGAAGGAGACTCCATTGTATCTTCGGAGGGTTCCGAAGGCGTTGAGGAAGCTCCTGCTGCGGATGCAATAGCGCTCGAGCCACAAGATGCGCCTGAGCCGACAGCTGCGCCTGCGCCGACAAAAGAAGATGCCGAAGATGACGCCGAGGGAGACGCTGAAGACGACGATTGGGATGGCTCCTCTTCAGCGAGTGAGTCTGGAAGTGAAGCTGAAGCTGAAGCTGACGAAGCTGAGGAGCAACCAGAGGCTGCAGCTGAAGCGCCCGAGGATGATACTATCTCGGCTGTAGATGCAGAAGAAGAAGAAGAAGAAGAAGAAGAAGAAGAAGAAGCTGATGCTGCTGCATCTGAAGCGGAAGTCCAGGTGATTGAGCCAGCTGCGGATCCGGAATCTCATGCATCTGGTCCGGAAGAAGGCTCTGCAAGTGTTGCAGTGCTGGAAGAGGCTCAGGAACCTGACAATTCTGCACCAATACCTAAAGAGGCTGCGACAGAGGACGTAGGCCCCGACGCTGATGAGGAGGTTCTCAACGAGCAGGTGGAGGAGAGCCTGGTGGAAGACAGCCTTGTGGAGAGCGAAGATGCCGATCCAGCCCCGGCTGATGCACCAGAGGAGGTCGAGCCTGCACCACCAACTGAAGTCGGCACAGCAGAGCCGCCTTCAGATGGGTCGGATGTTGCATCAGGGGAGAGTGAAGTGTCGGTAGAAGAGGACGGCGATGCAGAGGAAGCGACCGCAGACGACACCCTAACCACAGTAGAGGTTGCCGCAGCTGAAGACGAACCTTCAGAGGTAATGTCTGAGCTGGCTGAGTCAGTTGTAGAAGAGAGTGTTGTCGAGGAACAAGCACCCTCTGCTGAAGACGCTGCTCCGGAGCCAGATGCTGAACCAATCGCTGAACCAGTCGCTGAATCGGTTGCTGAGCTGGCTGCTGAGCCAGTCGATGAGCCAGTCGATGAGCCAGTCGATGAGCCAGTCGCTGAACCAGTCGCTGAATCGGTTGCTGAGCCAGTCGATGAGCCAGTCGATGAGCCAATTGCTGAGCCAGTTGCTGAATCGGTCGTTGAATCAGTAGATGAACCAGTTGCTGAACCAGTTGCTGAACCAGTTGCTGAGCCAGTTGCTGAACCAGTCGAAATTCCAGCGGAAGCTGAGCCTGAAGAAGAGTCTCCCCCAGTGTCTGAGGTAGAGGCCGAAGAAGAGTCACAGTCAGAAGCTGCAACCGAGTCTGTACTTGCAGAGGACCCTGCCCCATCAGAGGAGCCAGACGTTGCACCGGCACCCGAGCCAGAAGCTGAGGAACCCGCGCCTATCGAACCAGAGGCAGTGCCAGCAGCTGAGCCAGACCCTGCGCCTGAGCCACCAACAGAACCAGAACCCGAGCCACCTGTGGAGCCTGAGCCTGAGCCACCGGCGGAGCCCGCACCTGAACCGCCAGCGGAGCCAGAGCCAGAGCCACCAGCGGATCCCGAGCCTGAGCCCCCAGTGGCACTCGAACCCGAACCTCCAGTGGAACCTGAACCCCAATCTCCAGTGGAGGTTATACCAGAGCCACCAATGGAGCCAGAACCCGAGCCACCTGTGGAGCCTGAGCCTGAACCAGCGGTGGAGCCAGCACCCGAGCCACTCGCAGAGCCAGAGCCAGAGCCAGAGCTAGAGCCCGAACCAGAGCTTGAACCACAGATTGTCCCGGTGGTATTGGTAGGGGGGGTAGCTAATGAAGGAACTACGGAGAACATTGCCCCTGTAGACAGGTCCTTCGACTTCAGCCAAAGTCCAACTCGACCACCGCCGCCTATTCCCGTTGATCAGTACAGAGAACGCGATATCGCAATTGACGATGAACTTTCAGCGGAGCCTCCTGTCCGCGAGAAGACCCGTCGGAGGCAGTCGCATGCTCATCGTGACGCCCATCATTACTCGAGTCGTAGGCGTGAAAGTGATGCTAGTTACAGGGAACGCCCGGTCATGGCTGTACCAGATCCTTCCAGCATCCCAAAGACTAAGCGTCGCGACAGCATGAACGAACGCGAGGCTGAGCGGAGAAGAGAAAGACTACGTGAGGCTGAGAGAACCGGTAGCAGTAGCGATAGAGAGAAAGCCTATCCGGAGTATCGGCCCCACCGCCGCGATAGTAGGAGCGACGAGAGACACCCTAAGCGTCGCCCCGTAGAGGAGAAGGAAGATGAAGCAGAGAAAATAAGGCGACGTGAAGCTCGGAGGGCTGAAAAAGAGCGACTTGCTGCCGCGGATGCTGCTCGGCTCAAAGCTGAAGAAGAAGCCAGAAAACTGGAACATCGCGAACGACGCCGTGCAGCAAAGCGAGCAGAGGAAGAATATAACAGAGCCCAGGAGGAGCGCCGAAGGCTTAAAGAAGAGAAGAGACAGGCCATTGAAGATGAGGAACGACGAATTCGACACGAAAAAAGGCGACAGAGGCACGAAGCTGAGAAGGAAGCGAAGCGTTTGGAGCTGGAGAAATTGGAACAGGCTGTACGTGATGAGGAAGAGGCCAAGAGACTTCGACGGCAAAAGAGGGCGGAGCGGGAAGCAGCTAAACTTGCAGCGGCGCTTCAAGAAGATCTCATTGAGCCACCTCGCGACACTGCTCGACGTGCTGCAGAGGACTATGATGAGCAACTGCCACCCCCTCCTCTACCACCCGTCATTGACGAGACGCCACGCAGTGCACCGCCACGAAGACGACTGAGCATCCGAGACACACCACCGGGTGGAAAGCGCGGCGGTATTTTTGGAGGCATTTTCGGTCGCTCGAAGACGGAAGCTGCTCCACCTGTGCTAAAACCCACCCGGTCAACCCGCGCGCGTGCAAACACATTGGATGGTCCAGTCAAAGTCCCAAGGAGAGAATTCGAGCCCGAGAGTTCTCCAAGCAGGGACATCTCATCCAACAATGAGAGCCGAGACCGAGGCGAACGCGCACATCGTCCTCGACGTTATTCACATCAGCGCCGCCAATTCGGATCGCCTGAGGAAGAGGCCGAGTACTACAGGTGGAAAGAAGAACGGCGTTATATGCGCCGTCCAGAACATGAATTGTCTGGTGGTAGGGAGTTCGGAGTTACTTTTGCGTCGCCAATCGTTGACCTTCCTCCGCCCCCGCCTAAACCTTTTGAGTATGACCTCGACGATGAGGCAATTGATGATGCGGAATCACCCATCATCGAGGATGCAGCTGCAGTGGTTGGTGTAGCCTCTTACTCGGATGAGGAACGACGCGAACGTCGACGCAGTCGGCGCATGTCCAAGCCAGAAGAACGTCCCAAGGCACGTCGCATCTCCGTCACCGAGAAAGAGCGACCTTCTGGTCGTCGCCCCGAGGCCGACCGGCCACGAACTCGGGACCGCGGAGATGACCGCGCACGTGTAAAGAGAAGCGATAACGACCGCCGTGACAGAAGAAAGAAGGAGGAGTCGAGCGGCCTCAAGGGGTTGTTTGGAGGACTCAAGAAGAGAATCGCATGACTATCATTGATGTGACTGAGATGATAACGACGACACTGACAAAGAAGACAAGAAAGATTCCTTTTACGAAACTGGGGTCAAAGGCGTTAATCGGTTGGGGGAGTTTACAGCATCTTGCTTTCCTCTTTTACCGACCGAAAAGGAATAATTATTTACACCAGGTATTCTATCTGTTTTTCCCCGCAGGAGTCTAGGACGGGATGTTTGGCGTCCGGCGTAAGAAAAAAGGGCGGAACATATGTAATACTACTTTGTACCCGTTTCCTTTCTTCCTTTTTCAAACTTCTTTCTTCTTTTTCTTTTCTTCGTTTATATTTAGATCACCAGAGATGACTCGCAAGAGTACACACACATACAGTATAACTTTGTATTTAAATGTTGGAGAAGATGATGATGAGGGAGAAGAGATGTTCACGATAGGAATGATAAATTATGTCGATTATGAAATCTTGAGGTCTTGAGACTCCGAGCTTGCTTGTGTGAAATGGATAGGTGAATGCGAACGCTACAAGCAAAAGCTATAGTAAGCGTTGAAAAAGGAAGATAAGAAGAAGCATGTTGGCGATTAAATAGAAGTAGATACGAAAAACCCACGATATCCACAGTTCCAACAAAAACCTAACCACCCACAATTCCCAGCACACCAAAAACCGAAGTAGAAGAAAAACCTCCAACTCCAAATCCATCACTCTTCAGCTCACCAAGCCCTTCCCGCATCCCTAGCAACCCACCTCCCCCTACTCCCCTCCCTCCCATTCCCATTCCCATTCCCACTCCCATTCCCCCCAGTACTAACCCTCCTCACCCGTCCCTGGACAACTTGGTAAACCCCATCCGGCAGATCCGTCTCCCGCTCCCTCCGTTCCTCACCCAGTAGCCGTCCGGGATACGCCCATGCCTCCTCTCGACCTACTTCATCTATCTCGCTCCAATCCACCTCAGCCCTGTCCGCAGCTACCTCGCTCCGCTCATACGAGTCGGAGTCAGATAGCTGCGCCAGCAAGTCCGGGTTGATGATGCGGTTGAGGAGATTGTTTGAGATACTAATATCCGAGGTGCGGGCAGAGCGCGATATGTAGTTTGAGTGTGCCTGTGAGTGTGACTGGGACTGCGAGTGCGAGTAGGAGAGGGCGCTGTTGCTTGCGTGGCTGGTGCTGCGGCTTCGGGGGACGCTGGGGGCGGGTGCGGCGGCGGCGGTGTCTTCTTCCGGGTAGAAAGTGGAGGTGAAAGCGTCGTTGTGCGAGGGGAAGACGAGGGAGGACGAGGGGCGGGCGTGGGAAGAGGTGGATAGCGTGCTTGTTGCGCTGTGCCGCTTTTGGAGCTTTTTGCGGGAGGGAGGGTGCTCGGGGTCGTTGGTGTGGGTTTTTGTCAAGGTGGAGGGGCTGGGGGTGTAGTGGATGTAGGGGTCGAGGTTGGATTGGGAGGAGATTTGGCGGCCGCGGGTTGGGTTGGGGGTAAATTTGGCTTGAGGGTAGGGGTTGTTGTTGTGCATGTGTTTCTTTTCGTCGTATTGATGGGCAGTGCCGCCTCGGCTGCTGGACTTTCCGCTACTTGCCGTTTCAATTAGGCGTTTGTGCCAGGAAGTATTTGCGTAGTTGAAATTGAGACGTTTTTCTGGGTCTTGCTTTCCGAACCAGAGAGGCTCGTCTTTTGAGATCTTGACGGCGTTGAGCCATGCGTTGCCTGGGGCGTCGTCTGCGAGTTGGAAAATGACGTCGACTTCTTCAAGAGATCGGAACGCGGTCTCCGGGTAGAAAAAGTATACGAGAGGGATAATGGCAAAGTTTGTGACAGCGAAGATGATCCAAGTTCGATAGGAGATGCGCTGGAATGCTATTGGCGTGATGAAAACGATCCTATGATGGTGTTAGCCATAGTATAACAAGGGGGAAGAAATCGAGGAACGCCATACACAAAGTTGAGCAACCAGTTGGCACTTGTCGAGAGACCGTTAGCCGGACCACGGATTCTCAAAGGCACAATCTCGACCTGATACAGCCATGCCATACCCTGCCAGCCAATAGCAAAGAAGACCGAGAAGATGAACAGAAAAACAGTACTAGCGATTCTGGCTTCTCGCATCGCCTTCTCGGACCACAAGTACTGCAAGATGGTTATGAGAACCATGCAAGCCGACATACCCGTAGCTCCAAACATCATCAGAGAACGACGACCCCAAAAGCGATCGATTCCAACAACGACAATGAATGAGGCAAGAAAGTACAGAGTCGCTGAGCAGGATGCCAGGAGCCGGGCAAGCCATCCGGTATATGACATGCGTGTGAGGAAAATCCAGGAAAGATACTGCAGAACCAAATTGATGCCTGTACCTTGCTGAAAGATCTGGACAAAGTAGGCCAATACAACGCGATGAAAGCCTCGCCGTTCTTTGTTAGAGAACATGCCCACGCTCGAACCTTGTGCCATAAGCAATATGGCATCCTTGATCTGCAGAAACTCATCTTTTGTCTCGAAGCTATCTGGATCATCATCATTAAGAGCAGCCAGCACGGTGAGTGCTTCTTGTTCGCGTCCAGTCAAAATCAACCAACGAGGGGACTCGGGTAATACGAATAGCATTGCGATAGCAGGAAGCGCAAATACGATTTGTAGAGCAATGGGAACGCGCCATGATGCTGAAGAGCTGTCGATATAGGCGAAACCGAAAACGAACCAGTATGATAATGCGATACCGGCGGATACGAAGGCGCCGGCGCTGATCATGAGGATTGTTCCTTTGCGATGGGACTTGACGCATTCTGCTTGGTATGCCGGTGCGGTGGCTGTGGTAAATCCATTGCCTACGTAGAATGTTAGCATTCATTACTGGAAAGACAGTATAGTTGCTTACCGAAACCAGCGACTGCGCGACCAATGATGAATTGCGCGAAGCTGTACGACGATGTCTGAATGATTTCGCCAATGACCCAGAATGTCAAGCCCACGATGAGTGTCCGTCGACGCCCAAGCAAGTCGCCAACGAAGATAGTTGCAATTGCCGACACGATGCAGCCCAGATGCCATGTTCCAACCGTGAGGCCTATACAAGTCAGTCTTGTCAGGTATAGCCACAGATACGCTGATATTTGATATAGGTGTTCTTAATCAGAATTTGGACATACCAGTGACCCATGCATCGTGGAATGAAACATCGTTAACAATGTCAAGCTGTGGAAATCGATCGAGGAATTGCTGAACGGTCAAAAGACCGCCCATTACACCTTGAGCATATCCGAAGCACCTGTATCACATTAATTGACGAACCATACGCGCAATGATTCAGGGACAGCATGTTGACGTACAAAAAGCAAAAACCACAAGTTACACTAATGGCAGTCGCTAGACTCTTACCCCGGAGTCCTAAGAATCGTGCCATTGCGTTTGAGGTCTTGCAACAGCGTCAATGGATTCAAGGCGAGGACAGTCCAGTGGGATATCAAATGTATGGGACAACGAGCTGTGCCGCGTACACTCACCGGCACAGGCGTTGCGACGGAGTGCATCTAGTATTTTCAAAGCTTTTGGAACTGGGCCATGTCGCCCAGCCGTCGCGGCTTGTGGCCATTAATGCAACGTCATGTTTTGCAGAAAGGTTGCAAGCGTTCCGTTCAGCTAATGCAGGCATCCCCAGTAGCTATTCGTTCAAGGTATTAACCACCGAGGGGACCAGACAGTGTTCCCGCAATCCGCTACATGCCCCCCCCCCCCCCCAAACTATTCAGGAATGCAACACAAGGGTGGCTTTTGACAGAGAATCAGGTTTGAGCTGACAAGAAGCCGCAAAGGGAGTGTAGACACAGTTCATTCAAAGACGAGATATCACTGTCTGCGATGCTGGGCTGGTATTCGGCCTAGACTTTTTCCTCTTACACTTACATACCGAGAACTCTCAGCTGGGCGTGCCTTCAGACCGTGAACCTAGCACAAGTGTACCGTAGAAACCTTGTAGATGACAGATATTAGCGTAAAGCCTATCCAGCTATAGCCTAGGAAGCGACCTAAGAACACGCCACAACCCGCCTAATCTTGCAGCTGTCAGGTACACGAAGCCGAGTTGTATCCTTAGTGGTTGCTTCAGAATATCTGACAGATACGATCTCGATGGCCCGCTGATGTCATGGACATGCTAGCGTCGATCAAGCGACGAGATCGAGTGTTGGGGCCATGAGTTCTCAGGATTGCGTATCTTGAACACAGCTTCTGGACAGCAATAACCAAAGCTGAAAATGAGCTCGACGAGCACGCGTGAGTAAGTAAGACGTGTTCCAAGATAGACGTGGTATGTTCTGCATATCTGAAAAACAAACATGCACATGTGTACTAGAAAAACAAGGCAGTGCTGCTGATAGGCTGGCAGGATGCACCGGACTCCGGCGTGTTAATCGTCCCTGGTCCAGTATACAAGGTAGGTGCTGGACGCAATCGTTGTCATGTTAGGAGATCGGCCAGATTTCGGTCAAACCTTCGGCAGCTGTAGTTATTGGCGGGAATCCATGATCGGCCGGCTATGGATATCCCTGACTACTGGCATGTGAGGGTTAGAAGAGAAAGTGAGTGTGTATGGGGACGGCTTCAGAGTGAGAGTACATTGAGTGGGGTATCGATTCGCTACTTGGCCAAAAATTTCTGAAACGCTTCCTGGTCAATTACAACATTTCCTACAGCCCGGAGCTTTTTCCTGCCCTCTTTCTGCTTTTCGAGCAGTTTGCGCCGTCTGCTGAGGTCACTTGCATGCAGCTTGGCCAACACGTCTTTGCGATAAGGCTTGATGGTAGCTCTGGCCACAATCCTTCTCCCCGCGGCCGCCTGTATGATGACCTCAAACATCTGCCGCTCGACGTGTTCCTTGAACTTCTCCACCCATATGCGTCCTACCTTGTCGACTTGTGATGTGTGCAGGACACGCGAAACGGCATCAACTGGGGAGCCGTTGACAAGAAGATTGAGCTTCGTAATCGATGACCTACGGAAGCCTGCATCTTCGTAATCCAGTGATGCATAACCCTTGGTAGAGCCTTTTAGTTTGCCAAAGAAATCGTCTACCAGATGTGACAAGGGAAGGTCGTACTTCAAGATGACTTGTGTAGCCGTGAAGAAAGTGAGTTCCTTTTGCTCACCGCGGTTGGCCTCACAGAGCTTGATGACCTCACCAAGATACTCATCCGGGAGAGTGATGGTTGCAGAGACGTAAGGCTCATGCACTTCCTGTACCTTGAAATGTGCCTGATCTTGATCGGGGAACTCATTGGGATTGGTGATGATAGACTCGGTACCATCCCTCCACACTACCTTGAAAGGTACCGATGGTGGAGTAATGATGATGTTTGCACCATGTTCTTGACGGAGTCGATCCTCAAATACAGAGCAGTGCAATGTTCCCAAGAAACCCAAGCGCCACCCAGCACCCAATGCATCAGACGACTCTTTCTGCAGTGTAACACTGCGGTCGTTCAGGATAATTTGCTGAATGCTATCTTCAAGATGCTCATGATTGTCCTGGTCAGTCGGAAAGGCGGAGACAAAGACCATGCTTTTAGGCTCTTCAAAGCCTGGATATGGCTCGACAAGCTTCTCAGACCCAAGTGTTGTGTAGGTATCACCGACTTTAGCTTCTTGTGATCGTTTCATACCGGGGTTGAAGTAGATGTATCCCACTTGGCCTGCTCTCAAGACCGTCTGCGGTGTCTGGTCGGGATACATGATGCCAACCTCGCCTACAATGTACTTGAGCTGCGTGGCAAATGAGCGTATCGTGTCTCCAGGTCGCACCTGCCCGTCGAAGATGCGTACCAGCAGAATGACACCCTTGTATACATCGTACCACGAGTCGACAAGGAGCATGCGCAGAGGTTTGTTTGGGTCTCCTATAGGGGCAGGAATCTTATCAACTACCGTCGGAAGAAGGGATGCTACATTCAGCCCGGTCTTGGCTGAGACGAGCACAGCGTCTTCGGGATCGAGCTCGAAAGTTTCGTGCATCTGCTCCAGTACGCGCGGCGAGTCGGCATGGGGGAGATCGACCTTGTTCAAGACAGGGACCAGAGTCAGGCCCTGGGAGAAAGCAAGGTAGAAGTTGGCAACGGTTTGCGCTTGCACACCCTGACTGGCATCGACCAGCAACAATGCACCTCCGCAACTGGCGTAACTGCGCGACACCTCAGCACGGAAGTCAACGTGACCGGGCGTGTCTACCAAGTGCAGCAGATAGTCTTTGCCCTCGTGATTGTATATCATTGTGCACGTCTGCGCCTTGACTGTGATACCACGCTCCCGTTCCACGTCGAGCTTGTCAAGAAACTGCTTCTGACCGCCGGGCTCGATAGTGCCCGTGAGCTCCAGAAGGCGGTCTGACAAGGTCGACTTGCCATGATCCACATGTGCTACGATACAGAAGTTGCGATACCGGTCGATGGGAATGTCGGCAATGCGTTTCTCCAGTTCTCCCTGCGGGCGGAAGGCCTGGGCATATTGCCTGGCGGGGGGCCACAGGCGCTCGAGCAGGCGTGAGGTATGCGGGAGGGCCCTAGAGCGGGCCAAGGGCGTCCGCCAGCCGTGCAGAAGGCTGCTTGCAGTTCGAACGCATGATCGCATGGGTGGGCATGGGATCAGATCAACTCAATGCACGGCGGCTGGTCGTGGTGGATGGTTGTCGCAACTTTTCTCTGCTAATGAGCAGCATCTAATCTTATCTCATCTAATCGCCGTAGATCTTATCTTATCGCCGAGCAGCGGTCTGCCCTGCGTGCCCTCCACGCCCAGGCATAGCCTGCAACCAGACCTTTTTGCCCTAACACAACCCCACAGCTGCTATACCGAGTCTGAACATCAGTTCTCACTGACTGAATCCGTTCATTGAGATCATTTGTAAGACGTCTGGCGTGTTTTGCTGCCAACCCGCCTCTCCCTCCGCCTTCGCACCTCGCAGTTGCCCTATCAACAAACGCTGTAAACAACACCTTCCTTGCCTACACCGCTCCCTACAACGCCATCGCAAACATGTCGGCGCCCAAGGCCACAGCAAAGACTTCATCAAAGAGCTCATCTAAGACTTCTTCAAAGTCCAAGTCGTCCAAGAGCGACTCGTCCAAGGTCCACAAACTTGCCTTGAAGGGCTCTTCTAAAATTGTTAATGAATTCGTAAGTCCGCCAAGCCGACGAACAAGTCGGACGCTTACCCAGTTCAGTTTGAGTATTGTATCAACACCATACTGTAAGCACGCCACCTACGCGTCACCTAGCACGGCTAGTTGGCTAACCTTTACAGCTTCCAAAGAGGTGTCTACCCTGCTGAAGATTTCACCGCGTAAGTAAACAATGCATCGCCCAGTGTAAATTGCTTTTTAACCAAAAATAGAGTCAAGAAATATGGATTGACTATGATGGGTAATTATCACATCTACTCATCGTCTGGATGTCTTGCTGATGTCTGCAGTAACTGCCGATGACCAGGTCAAGGCCTACATCAAAAAGATCATGGGTCAGCTCAAGGAATGGATGTACGGCGGCAAGATCTCCAAGCTTGTCATTGTCATCACAAGCAAAGAAACTGGGGAACATGTTGAACGATGGCAGTTTGATGTACGTTAAACTGTACGAATACAAGCAACTCTCTTCTAACCACGTCCAGGTTCAAATTTTTGGAAAGGGTTCAAAGTCAAAGACCTCCAAAAAGGACACTGATCAGGAAAACGCTGCCCCAGAGTATGTTGAGACAACTTAGTCGACTTTGTAAATTCTGACTGTTGGCAGGGCCAGCGATGCACCAGAAGAGAAGACCGAAGCGGAAATTCAAGCAGAGATCCAGTCCATCTTCAGACAGATCACGGCCTCCGTAACCTTCCTGCCAATGCTCGACGGAAATTGCACGTTCAACGTTCTTGTCTATGCTGACGCCGACTCCGATGTCCCACTTGAATGGGGTGACAGCGATGCGAAGGAGATCCAGAATGGTGAGAAGGTGCAGCTCCGAAGCTTCAGCACCAGCAATCATCGCGTTGACACGCTGGTGAGCTACAGGTCAGCAGCCCTCAAGACAAGTCTTATGTGTAATGCGCTGACTTTTTTAGGCTTGCCGACTAGCGTTCTCGGTTCCCTTCTTTCTTTTGGGTTGTTTTCCGTTCTTCATTTCTTTTGTTGCTTCGGTCAGATGGACCGAATACCAATAAAAGATTTTCCAGTGGGCTGTCCGTTCCTGACATGGGCGCATTACCACATCAGTAGTATACTCGGCCAATGAAAAAGTTTTGTTTACAGCACAAAAACTATCGAGTAAGCGGTTCTTGACATGTTGCCGCAGTTCGATCAGGTAGCGACTGCGCTACAGGCTGTTTGGTAATCACTACAGCTGCTGAAACTGACCAAGAAAGTTCTAGTCTTTGTGGGTTACGCTGCATTGTCAATGTATGGCAACCTTGATATTGCAAACCTGGAGGTAGAGATAGGTCAATTAAAACGCGGCGCCAACTCGGACCACATGCTCCAATACCAAATGAAATACCCTTAACTACTTACATCAACCTCCTACTTACATCAACCACCGTACTTCGGAGTTGAAGATTCCGACCAGGCCACGGCTATAAGCTCGCAGTCAGTATTGGTTGATGTTTTCTAAATTTACCGTTTGCGTACATGAGAGGATAATATGACGTCCTTCACAACGATATACTAATTCAGTATTAACGGTTCAGCACACGTCATAATTCTCGCTCCCAGAGACTGCTTCATTTATCTCGCCTGTATTTTCTGATGAACCCACTGAATGGTCCGCAATGTCTCCATCCAGAGCTGGGTCGTTGGGTGCCGCTGCTCGCGCAGAGGATGAGCTTGTTGTTTGCTATTAGTAACACTAATGAAGTTATAGATACTGATTGCTTTCTTATAATGTTCCTACGAGACCATGCTGATTACCGTGCAGTAAAAGTGACATTGAGACTCATGCTACAGCTGTAGCAATGATAAGACAGTATTTGTGGTTGAGCAAGCTTCAATACAAATAACACATAGTGGCGCAACGGAAACGCACGTCCAACCAGATGCGCACAATGCTACCGTCCACTTTTCATATCTAGAAGCAAAAGTAAAGTCAGGTAGCCCATAATTTCTATGATCCGATTCTATTTCCAACGGGTCACCCCATGTCAAGTAGCCCACATACACTGTTTGATCATAGAGCCGACCAAACATGTTGCATCTAAAAAATGAACTGAGGTATCAGATGGGACCATGAGGTGAATTTCCATCATCTCTACTCAACGAATTTTTGCTTTGCTCGGATCATGTCAGGACGATAAATATCTGCTTTTCACCTGCTTCAGCAGCTCGACGCTTTTCTATCCTATCTCACTCCTAGAACACCCTTTGGCCGTCACCTAAATTTACGGCACGTCGTCTAAGCCACAATGAGTCTCGGAGTGAGACTACCAGGTAGCTCCCGCGCTGAGCATGCCGCAGACGACAGCGAGGAACCTCCACCACTGAACCCCCTCGCACCCAAGCAGAAGGTCAACCCAAGCAGTGCTTCTGTAGCATCCAGATCCCGGCCCGCAAGTTTTACACCCCTTCAGCTAGGAGGAACCAATTCCCCAAGCTCCAGTTCCCTCGCCGATTCTGAACCCACTCGTGACAGCACCATCTCGGGAACAGACGCTGTACGAGACCTCAAAGCTGAGATATTGTCAAACTGGCTACACACAAAGCAAGAAGAGCGAGTATGGACATTCGGTGGGCCTGGCGAAGGTGTCTTCATGAAAAGGGCAAAAGGAAGTTACGCATGTGCGCCCCATGGAGTCCAAAATGACGGCACAGGCCTCTATCAAGCGGTCACTGAGTTGAATGTTCGGGTAAGTTAAGGAATTTCTATGCCTTACAACTCGATAATTTTCGATTCTAACGACCTCAAGTGCGCCATAACTGTCAATACTAGAGTCATCAAGTATATCCTAGAGCGCACCACGGTTTCCTATGTTCAGATTCAATCCGGTCTACGTCTCCAGGTCATTCCTGACTTCGAAGCTCTCCCATTCTGCCAAAGGGGCCAGTCAGCTGCGTTCATTGCCTCTCGTGGCATGTTGGTCGTGTGGCAAGATGACCCCAAGCTGTTGCTCGAAAGGGCAGAGTTCATCATCAATGCCCTGATGAGAATGATGTGTGGATCTGAATACGGTTACGACGCCCAAGATGTTGAGCTAGAAAAAGTCCTCGGCAAGAACCCCATGGTCGATGTTGAAGAATACGATGAAGTTTTTGATCCTACTGGCGGTAGAGATGAGGGCCCACGCGATATCAAACTTTGGCAATCGGCTTACTGTGGAATGTCCATCTTGCTGCTAACGACCGCTATCGGATCTGGATGGAGGCAGATCGCCATTCAGGAAGTTCAGGCTTATGACATGCTTCGAATGCTTTTCTTGGTCTGCTTACCTGCCCAGGTTTGGCTTTCACTGGTAAGTGCTCTTGATCGTGAGAGATTATAGTCTACTTATGAATTCAGTTCTTCTTTCAAGCTGTAGTCGGCAACGTCGCACAAATCGTTGGTCCCACCGACCAGATGAACGAAAACAGCAGATACTACTCTGGAAAAGCGCCTAAACGCATTCATCGTGATACTTTCGGTGCCCCACTTCCACATGTCACCGTTCAGATGCCTGTATATAAGGAAGGTCTACGTACCGTCATCGAACCGACCGTTCGTTCAATCAAGCAAGCCATCTCTACCTACGAGTTGCAAGGAGGAAGTGCAAACATCTTCATCAATGATGACGGCAGTAAGTCGATGTGCGCCTTTAAAAAATACGTCACATAGTAACAGCAAATAGTGCAACTTCTCTCGGCTGAAGACGCTCAAGATCGTCAAGAGTTTTACGATGAGCACGGCATTGGTTGGGTTGCCCGACCTCGGCACGACCCTAAGGGTGAACATGGAATCAAGCCTTTCATTCGCCCCGGTAAATTCAAGAAGGCTTCCAACATGAACTACGGACTTCGCATCAGCTGCAGAGTCGAGGACATCTTGAAACAGACTCCGCGCGGTGAGGGCTGGACCCAGCTCGACGAGAACATTGCCTACAAGGAGGCCATGGAGGCGGCCATGGCTGAGCATGTAGGCGAAGCCTGGGCAGACGGAAACATTCGCATTGGCGACTACATTCTCTTGGTTGACTCTGATACCCGTGTTCCCAAGGATTGTCTGCTAGAGGCTGTCAGCGAGATGGAGCAGAGCCCTGAAGTCGCCATTCTCCAGTATTCTTCCGGAGTCATGAACGTTACCAACAACTTCTTTGAAAAGGGCATCACGTTCTTTACTAACATGATTTACACTATGATCCGCTTCGCCGTCGCTGGTGGCGATGTAGCGCCTTTCGTCGGACACAACGCTATTCTGCGTTGGGAGGCAGTTCAAAAGATTGCCTACAAGTTCAAAGAGGAGGATAATACGACTTACGACAAGTTCTGGTCCGAGGAAACCGTTTCTGAGGACTTTGATATGAGTTTGCGACTTCAGAGTGCTGGCTACATTATTCGATTGGCTTCGTACAAGGGCGATGGTTTCAAGGAGGGTGTCTCGATTACGGTCTACGACGAGCTTGCTCGATGGGAAAAGTACGCGTCTCTGTCTATTTACAATGATCACTTATATGCTGACTCTCATTGTCTAGGTACGCTTACGGATGTAATGAGCTTATCTTCAACCCCTTCATCAAGTGGTTTACCAAAGGTCCTTTCACCAAGCTCTTCCGAACGTTCCTCCGGTAAGTTGAAAATGAAGAGATGCTATGCTCATTTTATGTCCTCGAATGACACTCGGCTAACTTAGATATCCCAGATCAAATATGCCACTGGCGTCAAAAATTACTATCATGGCCTACATCGGTACATACTACGCTCTCGGTTGTTCCTGGATTCTCACCATGCTCAACTACTTCCTCATTGGTTTCTTCAACGGATTCCTCGACCACTACTATATCAATTCTTTCCGCGGTAAGTTCCCAAAAAATTACTATGCGTTCCCATTTCCTGTTTTATCATCCATGCACTAACACAACACCAGTCTACTTCGCCATCGTCCTCATCTTCACCGTCCTCGGCAACATCTCCCTCGCCGTCCTCCGCTACCGCATCGGCGAAGGCTCCATTCTCGGCGGCTTCCTCACCAACCTCAAATGGATCCCTCTCCTCACTATCTTCCTAGGCGGCATATCCCTCCACATCTCACAGGCTCTCATCTGCCACTTCCTCAGCATTCCGCTTGAATGGGGGTCTACATCCAAGGAGTCCGAGCACGTTTCTTTCTTCGTCGCCATCAGCAAGGTCCTCAGGCGTTTCAAATGGAGCTTCATGTTTTGCTTTACCATGACAGCTGTCATGATTACAATGTCGTTTGCGCTGCCAGAGGATTGGCAAATTAGGACACTGATTGCAGTTTGGCCTATGGGTACGATTATTGTTAGCCACTTTTTGCTGCCAATCGTACTCAATCCGCAGTTGATGACATTTACCTGGTAAAACAATGAGTCATACTGCAGAAAACACAATGAAGCGGTTGGATAGTAAGAAATTTAACACATACAGAGCAGCGTACATGTGTTGGATAGAGTCCAGGGGGTCTCTCTGTAGGGATGGACAGATCACTCAGCACATGCTAGCTCCTGTTGATTTGAGAGCATTTAGAGGGAGTATAATAAGCTGTTTCGAGGTCTCGTCTTGTTTTATTATCTGTAATGATATGGTCGAGACCTTATTAGGATACGACATGGCGTTCGCAATAGAAAACTTTACAAGTCAATAAATTTCCTTCTCTTTATTTTTGTGCTTTCAAGACATCAAAGTCAAGAAAATCATTCTCATGCACACCAGGTAACAAACTTTTCCACGACAAATTCCTCCAGTCCCCATCTTCCGTTCATCCTGCCAAACCCACTGTTCTTTACTCCACCCTGACTTCCTGTCGGACTGGTATACACGCTAATGGTATTCGCATGTACCTGCCCATACTCCAACTCCCTGCTAATCTTGAGAAACCTCGCCATGTCGCGTGTCCAAACGGTAGCGTTCAGCCCGTAGGCAGAGCGATTCGCGAGTTCGATAGCCTCCTCATCCGTCTTGACCACGTATAGAGAAGCCGAAGGTCCAAATGTCTCCTCGTCGAATATCCTGCTGCTACTCAATGGATTCAGCACAAGAGCAGGTGGAAGCACCGTCGTAGGCCTATCTCCCCCCTCTTTGTCCTCATCACACGACCTGGGAAAGACAACACTATCCCCCCGCTCCTCCGCATCCCGGATAAGATCCTGCGCATGTTGCGCAATCCCCTCAGACACCGCAGCCCCCGTTATCTCCTTCGTAACCTTCCCCATCTCCTCCACAAGCCTCTCCTGAAACTCCTTCGCCACACCTTCCAGCACAATAACCCTCTCTGTACTAAAACAAATCTGCCCATGATTCATCGTCGCACCCAACGCACACTGCCTTGCCGCCACCCCTAGATCTGCATCCTCTAGCACAATCGCCGGACACTTGCCCCCCAACTCCATCAAAACCGGCTTCAAATACCTTGCCGCAACCGCCATGATCTGGCGCCCGACCGCCGCCGACCCAATAAACTCCACCTTGCGAATCGCCTCGTGCGAAATAAGTGCTTCGGTAACCGCCACCGCATCCTCCCTCTTACACTGCACCTGATTCAACACACCCCCCGGCACCCCCGCCTCCACAAAGGCCTTTGTGATTTCAAAATGCGTAGCCGGACACATTTCCGAGGCTTTGAAGACAACCGTACATCCCACCGCAATCGCACTCGCAATCCCCCTCGTCGCGAGGATCAACGCTGCATTCCACGGCGCAATACACAGGACCGGTCCGATGGGTTCTTTAAATACGAAACCCGTCGTCCCTGGTTTCTCAGTCGGCGGGATAACGCCGGCCACGCTACTGATTTGCGCGGCGATTTCGCGGAGGTAGGAAATGGCGAGGTTGACGTTTTGCAGCGCCCAGGCCGGGGTGCAGGAGGTTTCGCGGGTTTGGGTGGAGATCAGGGTGGCGCTGTGGGTGGAGTAGTGGTCTGCTACGCGGAGGAGCAGGTCGCGGCGCGTAGTGTGTGATGTTTGGCGCCAGGATTTGAAGGCTGTCCAGGCGGTGGTTGCGGCGTGGGTGGCGTCTTTGGGGGAGGCTGAGTAGGCGTGGTGGGAGGGTGTGGTGGATGAGGAGGGGGTTAGGGGGAAGGTGGTGGTGGTGTGGATGGGCTCGTTATTGATCCATAGAGGAGTGAAGGAGTTTGGGGTGGTTGGTGTCGTGGAGTCCGGGTTTGTTGACATGGTGGGGTTGGTTTGTTGGAGGATGTGCTGGTGATGGGGTGACTTGTGCTCTTTCTAGGGTCTTTTTATCTTTCGCACTGGAAGCTCGCAGATTTGCTTCAATGGTTCTGTAGAAATTTCCTTGAGTTGTATGGATGTGAATGGGATATAAAGGATGTCCAAAGTTTCTCCCTCAAGTGGCGTCGATGTAGTACCGGTTCGCAATACCGCGGCCTTCTTCCGTTGATGTGGATCGCCCTTCGGCAGATGTTGAGTGCCACCGCGGCGTTATGAACCAGTCCCCACACTGCTTATTGTCACGCACGTGTCAACTACAATTGGCATTTATGTTCTCAGAGCTTCATAATATATGCAAAGAGGAATATGACGAGAAATGAGGCTATCAGGAATTTAGTACTAGTCGACCCTCATTCGTGGGGTCGGATGTAAGCCGCCGGTAAACCCTAAGCACCATAACGTGACGTCGCAGAAGTTATTGTAAGGGCAAGATCATCCACTTGTATTCATTTAGGGTGACCTACATCGAATGCTAATTGAAAGGTGCTTTTGACTAAAAACCAAAGTCATATTTACAGTGAATTTGTTCAATCGCCTGAAACACCATGTAACCCTCAACCATCAAACGTTCATATTCTGTTTTTCCAAATCCCCTGCTCCTTCACCTGCTCTTAATCTCTCGGCTCTCTCAGCAGCTCTCTTCTTCTTGTTCTCCAGCCTCTCTCTGTCCTCTCTCATCTGCCTAATCAATGTACTCTTTTCCCTAATCTTATGGCCGTAGAGATAGAATACCACAGGGATGGGTATCATGGCAAATTCTATCAGCGAAAGCATAGTGGCACTCCAGTGCGGACCAAGAGTCTTATACATCTGGGGGCCGGCTAAAGGAAGGGCGCCGCCCATTGCAGAGCGGAGTACTGCATTTCCAGCAAGCGCGGAGGCAGCATAAATGCCGTAGGAGTGGACAAGGTAGTTTGAGGCATAGATGAAGACACCACAATTGCCAGCACCAAAAGGAACACCGGCAAGGAGAGGGAAAATCCAGTGAACATTGGGAGTGCAAGTCCTGTGAGAATGTTAAATGCTGACTTAAGATAGGGTAAAGAATGCTTACCATGCGAAAATCATTTCACCCACTGGGACGCATACCGCTGCAATGACAACAACACTGACCATAGCCTCTGGATACGGCTTACCCGTTTCAGGATCTTTCTTGTGACTGTTGATCATGCGACGGATAAGTGGCTCAGAGGCTATTACGATTACGCCTCCAATGCCAATGCCCATGTAACCAAGCCCCACTAGGCCCGGCGACCACCCTCGGAGTTCTCCGAAAACGATTGGATATGACACGAAGCATAGGTATAAAACTCCATAGACAAGCGCAATGTAAACGTCCCAGAAAATGCAGATCGGCTCGTTGAAGGCCATACTGAAGGGGCGGTACAGGTTCTCTTTCAACAAAGGCCAAAATGATTTCTTGTCGTCGTAACGCGAGTAATATCGAGGGTCAGATGTTTCCTTGCGTTTCTTTGCGGATTTTGCACGAAGAATGGCTGGCGCATATGTTTCCTTTACCATGAACACCATGAACCATGAAGCACCAGAGCCTATCATCACGACCCAATTCGTCCATCGCCAGCCCAGAGCCTGAAACACAAAACCTCCGACTACAGGACCGAAAACAGGACCTTGCATGGGCCCAAGAGACCAAATAGAAAAGGCTAGAGCACGGTAGTCTTCGCGGGAGATGTCCGAGACAGTACCTGGAGCGTTGGAGATCATGGCAGCTCCTGCAATGGCACCAAAAAAGCGCATGACGAGAATCTGTGCGAGGTTGTTTGACAGGGCACATGGCAAGACGAGAATTGTGAAAGTGGCGACGGCAGCCAAGTAAACTGGTCTTCTGCCATACATTTCACTGAGTGGCGCGAGAAGCAGCGATCCAATTGCGAGACCGCACAGGTATGTCGTGATGCCTAGAATGACAAGCGTCTTTGAGCGTATGCCAAACGTCGCCATCATGCCTGGTATGCCGCTTGTGTAGCTTGTGGAGTACATGACCACGACCAGGGTGGAGAAGCTCATGAAGAAGATGACAAGTGCCTTCTTAGCCATTGACCAGTCTTGCGGATTCTCGCCGTCATCGTCGAAATCGACCTCAAAGCGGGGGTCTTGGGTCGCGTTGGTAGTTACGGTCGCGATGGCGTCGTCCTTATCGCCAGGCCAAGAATGGCCTGTATTTCTGCTCCATGTGTGATGTATGGCAGGGCGGGCGTCCGCTGAGGCAATTGAGTCGGATCGGGTCGATGCTGAGGACACAGAGGCATGGTCATGTTCGGATTCGACCTCTTCCACTACGCGGGGCTTTCCTGAGGTATGCGACCGGGATGAGGGCGATGTGCTATTTCTTCGGGGTGGTGCAGTGATTGCGACACGCGTGTCTTTGTCGAAGTCACTGCTAGACATGGCGCTGGTGGAGACGCTGCCAAAATCCTACAATCAACAGCACAAAAGTACGGAAGAAAGAGGGAAAGACTCAAAGGTGGACTCATGGGCAGCGAGCGCGGAATATGGCCATTCCACAATTGCGCCATAGACCAGATGGGCTAGCTGCGAACGCCCTATGGCGATGGCGCCTTGCCGTCTTCATCACAGCGGTTTCCAATATAACGGGAATAACGGCCATAGCAAGGCGGTGACGGTATTGAAGATAACAATATAGCCGAGGTCCTGGTCGCTTGTGGTGTGGGGTGGAGTCTTCCTGTGGAGCATGGCTCTGTGAGAGATGGGGGCCAGGCTGTGGATCCTAGGCTTGAAAAAGCTTCGCCTAGTTGTACCCAGTGAAGTGTGCATGGTTGGTGACACTATTGGTGAATGGGTGTGGACTTAACAAGTGCCGAGAGCGCGATTCGTCCAGAGGAAAGAGGGATGGACGCAGGATGCGGGCTGGAGTGACGAAGCTAGAAGCAGAGGAGGGAAGTCCAGTAAGGCTAACTAAGCAGCACACGGGCAAACCTCGGGACGGGCCCTTTGTTAGCCTCTTCTTCTATCCGTCGACTATGGATGGTCCATTCTTCTCCAACCACACTTAGACGTTCAATGCATCGTATTGCTGCGACAACAAGACGACTTCTGGTGCTGCTATAATTCTGCTGGCGCCCTTCATGCACGCGTTTGCCCCGCCACACTGCT